AGTTCTTCGCATCAGGTGCCAAAGTATTAGAGCTTCAGCTTCAGCATCAGTCCTTCCAATGAAAATTCAGGGTTGATTTCCTTTAGGATTGACCAGTTTGATCTTGCTGTCCAAGGGACACTCAAGAGTTTTCTCCAGCACAGCCATTAGAAAGCATAAATTCTTCGGTGCTCAGCCTTCTTTATGGTCCAGTTCTTACATCCATTCATGACTACTGGAAAAACCATAGCTTTGACTATGTGGACTGTCTAGGTTTGTCATAGCTTTTCTTCCAAGGAGCAAGTGTCTTTTAATTTCATGGCTGCAGTCACCATCTGCAGTGATTTTGGAGCCCAGGAAAAGAAAATCTGTCAATGTTGCCCATAGGGAACATGGAAAAGCATTGTTTGTGGGGGCAAAGCCAGTGTGACTAAAAAAACTGTGGAAATTAAATCTGTAGATGACTGGGTGTAACTCACATTTCTCTACCACATCAGAGAAGGTCTAAGTCACTCATTCCCTCCTGTATTCACTCATTCTCCAGTGAGCTTCTGTAATGTTTGCAGGCCGGCCACCATCTGCCTTCCTTCTGGGAACTGATGTCTGTGCCTTTATTTTTCCCTAAGGGGACTGGTGACATCCTAGCTCAGCCTGGCTGCTTGCCATCACTCTTATCCCTCAGGCCTTGGTGACAGTCTCAGGGAAGAACACAGGGTCCATCAGGACAATCTGAGCCAAAAAAAACTAATTCTGGAACCTCCTTTCCCACCCCTGGGAACCACCCTCTCCTCTACCTCTGACGTGACCCAGAGTTGAGCCTTGCTACACACAAAGCCTGAACACAATGTCAACCCAGAGGAACCCGAGCTCAGAAGGGATCCAAAGCATCGCACAAGCTCCAAATCCAGCTGGGTCTCCGCTCCAGACTAGGAAGTGCCATGAATGACATATTCTCTTCTTTGCTTAAACAAGACACAGGGTACTTAGAGTTGAATTTTTGGAGTTTGATACCAAAAGATTACTTCAAGGGGAATCATTGAAGAGGGGTGCTACGGGCTAAACTGTTTCCCCTCAAAGTTCATATATGGAAGTCCTAACCGCCAGTACCTCAGCATGTCTCCAGATGTCCTTGGAGATGGGGCCTCTCAAGAAGTAGTTAAGTTAAAATGAATTCGTATGGATGAGCCCTAATTCTATGACTGGTGTCCTTGCAAGAGGAGCTGAGGACACAGACAACACAGAGGTCAAAACCAAATATGTAAGGACAAGCAAGAGGGCAGCCACCTGCAATCCGAGGAGAGGCCTCAGAAGAAACCAAACTGCCGACACTTGATCTGAAGTTTCCAACCTCCAGACTGTGATAAATTTCTGAGGTTTAAGTCACCCGGTCTCTAGTTTTTAGTATGGCAGCCCGAGCAAACTAATGCAGGAGCTCTACTAGGGGGCCACTGAGGTGACTGAATGGGGGGGTGTGGTAAGGGTGAGGATGTCACTGCTGTCACTCAGCAGGGAGATGAGTCTTTTTTTTTTTCTTTTCATTTTTTATTGATGTATAGTTGATACACAATATTACCTAAATTGCGAGTGTACAACATACTGATACACAATATTCAAGGGTTATATTCCACTATAGTTACTACAAAATACTGGCTACTTTCCCGGTGTCATACAATATATTCTTGTAGCTTATTTATTTGTACATAATAGTTTGTACCTCTTAATCCCCTACTACTATCTTGCCCTCCCTTCTTCCCTTCCCTACTGGTAATCACTAGTTTGTTCCCTATAGAGATGAGCCTTGAACGAAGCGGGAAACAAGCGATAAAGAGAAGGACATGGATCTGAGACAAAGTTTAGGCCAAACTGACACAACTTGGTCACTGGCTATGACGAAGTGAGGGTAGGGATATCAAGCTTCTTGCTGGAGCCGGATGGCATCATGTCCTTCACGGGAGGGAGGGAAGTCAGAGGCACCAAGTGTTAAAAAAAAAAAAAAAAAAAGAGGCACAAGTGGTGACCGTGAACTTTCCCTGTGTTTGTCTTCACATGCCCCATGCCTCTCCGCACAGCAGGTTATTAGCTCCTGAGGCCCAGCTTGGTGGATTCGTTCATCTCCCCTCCACCCTCACATCCTGGAACTAGGCTTCTCAGGACGGGACCCAATCGCCCCCAGAAGGAAAGCATGTCCCGCATCGCTGGGGTGTGGGCATTTTTAATTCCCATTTGATCGGCCTTGCCTGGTGACTCAGACGGTAAAGACTCTGTCTGCAATGCAGGAGACCCAGGTTCGATCCCTGGGTTGGGAAGATCCTCTGAAGTAGGAAGTGGCAACCCACTACAGTATTCTTGCTTGGAAAATTCCATGGAGAGAGGAGCCTGACTGGCTACAATCCAGGGGGTCACAAACAGTCAGACACAACTGAGCGACTTTCACTTCACTTCATGATCGGGGACCCCAACAGTGTTTCTGGTGGGAGCCCACCATGCTGGACGTCCCGCCAACCGTGGCTGAAGCAGCACACTGGGCTGTGTCTGGTCCAGAACTTTCCTATGAGCCGTTCCTCACCTTGAACTACCCAGTCAAAAAGTTGCATCACAGCAACTGCCTGAGGCTACGTGGACCAGACCGCTTCGTGTCCTCCCGTGAGGTCGGCACAAGCTCACATGTGAAAATATATGCTCCTTTAAATACACTGCTTTCCTTTTATTTCTTCCTATTACAGTGAGGACATTATAAAAATCATTTTAAAATCAGGTGGGTGAGTAGGTTATATTTTCTGGGGATTTCATTTTAGGGCAGGAAAGAGGCTATTATTACAAACCATGTTAGAGAAGAGAGCCTGAGAAGGTGAAGGAGACTCACCAACCAGGGTGGCAGCTCAGACTCAGTGGAGAGGCCTCCAAGGCCTCCCAGCCGGGGTATCCCCTCAAGCCAGGCCTCTGCACAGCCTCTACCCTATAAGGCTATGTGTGGGTTGAGCAAGCAGAGAAAATAAATAGGCTCCCCTAGCAGGCGCCTGCAGCTCTCACAGCTTCCTGGAGGGGAGAGAAGGGGGGCTGGGGTGGGTTAGGGGCACAGCAGCCTCTCAGAGAGCCCCTTCTGCCCCCCAGAGGGCTTGGCCTGCACCATGCCCCGCTGCCGCTCCTGATTAAAGGAGCCACAGTGAGCCCCGCTCCAGACCTTCAAGTGCAAGTAAAGAATGTTACCTTGTGTGCATCTCCTTACTTCCTCCAGACAGGTACACACACATTTCCATAAGACACAGTGAAAAAGTGTTAGACACACAGTTGTGTACGACTCTTCATGTTCCCATGGACTGTAACCTCCCAGGCTCCTCTCTCCATGGGATTATCCTGGCCAGAATGCTGGAGTGGGTTGCCATGCCCTTCTTCAGGGGATCTTCCCGATCCAGGGATCGAATCCGGGTCTCCTGCACTGCAGGCAGATTCTTTATCATCTGAACCACTAGGGCAGCCCATAAGACAGAGGGTTCTAGAAAATGAGTCAGAACAGACCAGAATCCTGCGGGCTTTTGGGGCCAGTATTAAGGAGTGGGGAGGGCAGGTAGAGAAAACTGACTTGTTTTGGTTCCTTCCCAAACCTGTGCTCCGTGTTCAGCACTGCTAAGGGAAATGGCAAAAGACCTGGGCAGTTGTGTGACCACAGCTCGCCTAGCCTGAGACCTGGCCGTCCAGAAACCTGGACAACTTTGACACAAGGGGGTTCCGAGCAAGGCCTGGACACTGCGGGGAGCAGGGCCACTATGGTGCAGCACCATCCAGAATGACCCTTGGATACAGCAGTGGGTCAGCCAGCACCCCAAAACTAGCACTCAGCCCCCTTAGAAGGCCGAGAACTGCTCCTCTCATCTGCTCCTCACCTGCCCTAACCCCAAAAGACTTATCTGAGTATGTCTTCCAAATAAATCCAGTGCTCAGCCTATGAGAAAATCTGGAGAAGGAAATTTCCTTCCTCTCCATCCACATGGCCCCTGTCACCCTCCTAGCCCGGCCTTGGTTGTTGGGCTTCACCACGCACAGCCCAACTGGGAAACCTTGAAACAGAGCAGTTCCCCCTCTCCGCATCCACCAGCCAACAGGCCCAGAACAAAGGTGCTGCTGCACCTAAAGGGCTCCAGCTTCCAGCCGGGAGCTGAAGGGCTAGAGGGAGACTCCCTTCACAGCAGAAGTCCCAGGGACTTCTCTCATTCTAGTTTTCGCCTGTGATCCCTCTGACTCCAGAGCCTGTGGCCAATGCAGTAGTCCCAAAGACCTGTGAGTCTGAGATGGGGAGACCTGGCTTCCAGTCCCAGCCCCACACAGAGGTGGGGGCAGAGCAGAGAGGACAGAAGCCAAGAGCTGAAGGTCCTCCTTCCAGCTCTGTCCCAGGCAGGCCAGCTCCACCCGACTTCCCTGTGACCAGAGCCCCAGAGAAGGGGAGGAGCAGGGAGCCAGAGAAGTCTGTTTTGGCTCAAGCTGCTTTGAGATGGGTTTCTGTCCCTGGACGTGAGAGCCCTTTGCTTCCCTGGTGCGACTTGGTCCGGAGTTGAGGAGGGAGGAGAAGGGACAGGGCAGGACCAGAGAGGCTTGGTGATAGGGAAGGCGGGCATGGGCCTCTGCTGGGCAGCTGCGACCCCAGCCCCGCTCCCCCGCTCCCCCGCCCCTCCCCCCAGTGTCTGCCCGACTTCCTTCCCAAGGTCACAGCTGTGGCCAGTCCTGGGAGGAAAACAGTGATGCCTGGGCCACGGGTGGTGAACTGCCTCTGCTCCCAAGCGCGGGTGATTTCTGGGAACCTCTCTGCCTGGCTGGCACAGCCAGGGTCCAGGTTCCTGGAAATGACCGCGGGGCGAGGGGGAGCCAGGGTGAGCCTGGGGCCCGGCCGGAGCCGAATTGCCGCCGGGGCGGAGTCCGGCTCAGGACCGAGGGCGGCTGTCTTAAGCTCTCCCCAGGACCCGTGCTGACCCCATCATTCCCAGGCCCAAGGTCACTGTAGTGACCATCCCCCCACACCAAGATGGGGGTCACTGGGTGATAACGCCGTGGACCCCTTGCTCGCTGCTTCTTGGGGCTGAGTGGTTGCGGGGTGACCACGGCTCCACCGGGTCCCCACGGAGGCGGGGCTGGGTGCAGGGGTGGAGGGGGAGAGGTGGGGCGATGTCTGCGCGGCTTCCGGGGCCGTGCGGGAGGCGGCCTGGTTTCTCCGCTAATAGATTTATCCCCGCGACGCGGCGGTCGCAGATCTGGCCTTGCAGTCTCCGGCTCTCCATGCTGTCGTAGGGAGGGATGGGGGCAGGGGGCAGATACTCCCTCCCTAGCCCGCCCAGCGGAACCCATACTTGGAGTGCCCACCTGTGCCCATCACCTAGATTGCGGGGCGCCACCCCTAGGGTTTCTGGTTTGGCAAATCTTGTGGGACCTGAGGGTGTGTGCTTCCAACAAGCTCCCAGATGCTGCTGTGGCAGTTGCTCTGGGGACTCCCGTCCTCCCAAATGCTTTCCTTAGGGGCCATAGATTCACTTTTGGCTTCAAATGTCTATTAGCAGTAAAAGGGTTCACCCAAGAGCACAACAGGGAGTTCTTCCTCTTACCCCTGACCTCGGGCTCATTTGAGCTCAGGGGACATTCATTACAGTGGGGAGAAGGGTGAAAAGGGAGATTTACTGTTACTACCTGCAACATCTATCATCATGAATTATTCTTTATATTTATTAATTTTTTTAATATTCATTTATCTGTTTGGCTGTGCTGGGTCTTAGTTGCAGCATGCAGGAGCTTTAATTGTGACATGCAAACTGTTAGTTGCATCAGGTGGGATCTAATAGTTCCCTGATCAGGGATCAAACCCAGGACCCCTGCATTGTGAGTCTTAGCCACTGGACTAGCAGGAAAGTCCCTGTTTTGTTTGTTTGTTTTTTACTGTCAAAATTAATCAACTGTTTATTTAGGAGCTGGGTTGTCACTTTGTCTCATACACACCCTTCAAGTCCACACACAGGTTTCACGGTGAAAGCAATAATCATAATGTAAAGTTAGTTTGCAGCAAGTGAGCCGGTGTTTAGGCTCAGACAACAATGAGGTCAGGAAATGCTTAGTGACAGGGTCGGCCACCTAACTAAACAGGTTCCCTGTGAGCCACGTCTTGCTGGTCCTCAGGATGTGTCCACCTGCAACCCAAATGCAATGACCGTAGCATCTACTCTCAAGTTCAAACCAACATACCACCTTCTGTGCTCACATCATGTGCCTTACAATGAGTGTTTTTAAACTTGCTTAGAAATTAGTTTTATTCCTCACTAAAAATCATGTCTGTACCTAGGAACATCATTGCTGAGAATGGCCTGAGGATTTCTTGCAGTAGCTGACTTGCTTTGCAATGATCTTGGATCCAGGTCTGCCCTATGGGAAGGCCATTTGAAGGCCTGCATCTTTTTACCAATCTCATCAAGGCCACAGAACTATTGGGGGTGGGTGCTTCCCTGGTGGCACAGTGGTAAAGAATCCACCTGCCAAAGCAGGAGATACAGGTTCGATCCCTGATCCAGGAAGGTCCCACATGCTTCGAAGCAACAAAGCCCGTGTGCCCCAACTATTGAACCTGCACTCTAAAGCCTGGGAGCTGCAAACACTGATACCATGTGCCGCAACTACTGAAGCTGGCGACCTGAAGCTTGTACTCCACAACAGTAAAAGACGCCGCAATGAGAACTAGAGAGTAGTTCTCATCTAGTTACCATACTGCATCTAGAGAGTAGGCCCCACTTGCTGCATCTATAGAAGAGCCCACACAGCAAAGAAGACCCAGCACAGCTAAATAAATAAATACATAAATAAAATTAATTTTCAAAAGATCATTAAAAAATAGCGAAGTGTCTCAATTTAAAAAAATAAAACCTTTTGGAGGCCGTGATGTGACTCACATCCCTGGGTCAGGGCAAAGAAGGACAGCACTCGAGGCCAAGGTGGATGCTCTGGTCTCCCCCATTTTCCTACTTCCCTGCTTCCCTGCCTATGGACAGCTCTCCTGGGGGGATGTACATTCGCACCTGGCTGTGTTCTCCTTCCAAGAAACCAAGCAGCTCTTGGGAGACACCAAGACCCAGTTCTTCTATTTCTACATGGACCCTGAGCCAAGAAGACAAGTGGCTCTGAAGTGTATGGGCTCTGGCTGCTCGCCGTTCAAAAGCCAATAAACAGGCCAGGCTGGTGGAAAGGAAAGTTTGCTTTAATTCAGGGCGGACATCTGTCCAAAGGCAGACTACCCACCCCCCGACCCCCCCCCCCCACCCTCCGCCCCAATCTCCGACAGACAGGTAGAAGCTTTTATAGACAGAGATGGGGCAAGGGGCAGGGCTACATACAAAAACAGCATAGTCATCTTCAAGTTGGTCATCAGTGGTCTCACCAGTGTCATCTTGGTTGTTTTAGGTACAGTTAATCTTCAGTTCCAGGGTCCATTTGTTCCCCTTTTTTGGGGGCCAGTTCTCAGAACTGTGGCAGCTCCTGTCCTGGGCACAGTCTGGTCATCATGTAGTTAACTTGGTACTTTGTTCTTTTGGTATCTATAATACAGCTCACAGGATATGGCTCAGAATATTATCTATAGCCCTTCAGAAAGAACTAAAGGCCCTTGACTATGCTTAATGACCACATTAGTATTACTTGATCTCCTTTGACTGTTTTCCTTTGTTTTCACATGTTCTCATTTCTCTGATTAAACTTGTGCTTTGACTGAAGTTTTCCACAGACAAAAGGCAGGCAGAGGACGTGGTGGGGGAATGGGGCGGGTAAGACCACAGGGTCCTGCTGTTTCATGGGAGCTTCAGAGCCACCTGTCTTCCTGACTCAGAGCCCATGTAGTATAGTTCTTCTGTGTATTCTTTTATGAATACAAAGTTGCTTCAGTGGTGTTGATTCTTTATGACCTTATGGACCATAGCCTGCCAGGCTCCTCTGTCCATGGGATTCTCCAGGCAAGAATACTGGAGTGGATTGCCATGCTCTCTTCCACGGGATCTTCCAGACCCAGGGATCAGACCCGCATCTCTTACATCTCCTGCATTGGCAGGCAGGTTCTTTTCCACTAGTTGCCTCCTTTTAAACTCTTCTGCTTCTGTTAGGTCCTTGCCATTCCTGTCCTTTATTGTGCCCATCTTTGCATGAAATGTTCCTTTGGTATCTCCAATTTTCTTGGAGATCTCTATCCTTCCCATTCTGTTATTTTCCTCTATTTCCTTGCAAGAAAAGATAAGAAAGCCTTCCTAACAGAACAATTCAAGGAAATAGGGTTGCCATATTTAGAAAATGAAAATACAAGACAATATAATGTCCTCTACACACAATTAAATAAGGCAATATTGGGGATATACTAAAAACTCACTGAAATTAAAGCTTAATTGATTGTCCTGTATTTTGTCTGGCAATCCAGTACAGAGCAAGCTGATAATAAATATTAACTTTCTTCATGAATGGAGAGATTTATTTTCAATTCATATTACCAGGAAGGGTGTCTCTCCTGCTAAATACAACCTTTACTTTGAAAAGAATCTCAGACCTCCAGAGAGCAATTGCAAGCCTGGGTCCTGGGGAGATGACCACAGACCATCTCAGGGCTTCTTCAAAGGCAAGCTCTTTTACCTTCTCCATGCCTTTCCCCCTGTCTCTGGCCTGCATGTTCTCCACCTTCTTGGGGATGTACACATGTGAGATCAGGTCTGCAGTGCCTGGAGGGGAGGGATTTTCTCCATCTCCAGCCACCTCCCCAGCATCCAGCCCAGAGTTGGAAGACTCACAGGTGCCTCTTCAGTGCTGGTGAACTTCAGTTCAAAAGCACCACGTGCAAGATGAGGGAAGATTTGCAATCCTGTTTTATTTTTACAAACCCACATTTCACATGGGGGGAAAAGTTTCTCTAAATTCCTGGAAACTGCTAAAGTGGGGTGGAATTCTAGTGCCTGGAGCTTTAAGGCAGATCTTGGGCTACATAAGGTGTCTTCAAAATCACTGCAGATGGTGACTGGAGCCATGAAATTAAAAGAAATTTGTTCCTTGGAAGAAAAATTAAGGCCAACCTAGACAGCATATTAAAAAGCAGAGACAATACTTTGCCAACAAAGGTCTGTCTAGTCAAGGCTATGGTTTTTCCAGTGGTCATGTATGGATGTGATTGTTGGACTATAAAGAAAGCTGAGCGCCGAAGAATTGATGCTTTTGAACTGTGGTGTTGGAGAAGACTCTTGAGAGTCCCTTGGACTGCAAGGAGATCCAACCAGTCCATCCTAAAGGAAATCAGTCCTGAATATTCACCGGAGGGACTGATGCTAAAGCTGAAACTCCAATACTTTGGCACCTGATACAAAGAACTGACTTACTTGAAAAGACCCTGATGCTGGGAAAGATTGAAGGCAGGAGGAGAAGAGGACTACAGAAGATGAGATGGTTGGATGGCATCACCGACTCAATGGACACGAGTCTGGGTAAACTCCCGGAGTTGGCGATGGACAGGGAGGCCTGGCGTGCTGCAGTCCATGGGGTCGCAGAGTCGGACACAACAGAGCAACTGAACTGAACTGAACTGAAGGCGGCTCCTCTGGAATGGGAATAACGACGCCTATCTATTTCCACTCACACCACACTGCAATCTCTTGCCAGTTTACTTTCCAGCCGGATTGGGCTTATCCGCAGAGCCAGGCACAATATTTGTGGAAATGAACCAATGGGAAGTTGTGGAAAGGAGGACGGGTTACTTGGCTCTGCAGCGCGACATCCGCAGCCGTCACCGCTCCGCGAATCCCAACTTCACTTCCGACGCCTGTAAGCTTCGGAGCGTAGCCTCCCAGGCTCCGCCTTTCCTCCCAGGATGCTCCGCACAGGTTGCGCCCCGTGATTGGCTGCTCTGCTGCACGTGGTGCCAGACTGGCGGCGGTGGTTGCCGGGGCGACGGCTGGAGACGTGGAGGCCGGGCCAGGTAGGCGCGTGCGTCCGCTACTGAGAAGCAGGTAAGTGCGCCCTCCCCGCCCCGACATGGCCGGGCGATCTCAGAGCCCGCTGTCCCCTGGCGGGGAGGAGTAGTGATGGGCCCGAGGGCCGCGGCTCTGCTGAGGAAGACCCCAGAGGAAGACCCCAATGCGCCAACTCAGCAGCCGCAGCCGGATGCCCCGAGTTTTCGCTTGCTGTCCTGGACTTTTTTTTCTGGCGCGGGCCTGAGGCGGCTGCCTGGACATCCCGAGGACCAGCCGCTTGCCACAAGTAGTCCCCGATCTTTGCTCTAGTGAGCCGGACAAAGGGGGCCCCAGGTCGTCCAGTTGGGTAGTGGCGGCACGAGAAGGTGGCCTGGGACTTTCAGATCCATCCCTTCCGTTATCCATCAGCTAACCCCTCTCCCGAGGCACCTAGGTTAAGTCCAGATTTGTTCCAATCTAAGCAAAAACAGGATGCTTGCTATGCAAATTCCTCCTCCAGACAAATCCCATAGTCTTACCTTTTTTCAACTAGTTTGTTGCCCTAAATCCTTATCATATAGAAATTGCGAAGCTGCCACTGCAACCCTCAAAAATGACTGAAATTTTCTCTAGTTTTTGCATAAAGTAAAGCTGTGGTTGTCAAGCTTGGAACGTGCATAAAAGTCATCGGGAGAGATTGTTTAAAGCAGTTTCTGGACATTATGTTCCGTAAAATCGCAGTGATGCTAGGAATTTTCATTTGCACAGGCATCCCAGGGGATTCTAATTCAGATGGTCCAGACTTTGGGGTAATACTGTGTAGTGGTTAATATCAGTGTGGATTTAAATTTCCACTTTGTCACTTACTAGTTGAATTCTAGGGAACACCACAAACTCCCTGGGCCTCAGTTGCCTCATCTGTAAAAGGAGAATATAAATCATATTCATCATTCAGGTTTATTGTGAAAATTAAATGTGAAGCATTTTGCACATTGCCTGGCATATGATAAGTCCTCAGTAAGTGAGCCTATTATGATATAAAGGTGTATAGAAAATTCTGTACTTCTTAAGAATGTCAGAGTAATAGAACACCCAGCGATGGCTCATGTTCACTGAGAGATGATCACAACAGAATCTTATTCAGATGATGGTCGTGAAGAACTTCTCTGACGAAGTGATGTTTATTAAGCACAGGGGTCAGCCAGGTGAAGAAAGAGAGGGGAAAAGTGTTGCAGGCAGAGAACAATATGCACAAAGGCCCTGAGACAGGAAGAAGCTTGATTCCCCCCCTTCTAAACAACCTCACATACTTACCCGTTCTGAGGATTAGGACGCAGGCAACTTTGGGGGCCATTATTCTGCCCACTACAGCTGCCTTTTTTAAAAAAGGAGTATTACCTACTTAGGTATTTTTGGTTCTGCTGGGTCCTCATTGCCGTGCAGGCTTTTCTCTGGTCGGGGAAGGCAGGGGCTGCTCTTTGTTGTGGCGCTCAGGCTTCTCACTGCGGCGGCTTCTCTTGTTGCACAGTCTCTGGGCACGTGGGCCTCAGTTGCTGCACTCAGGCTTAGTAGTCGTGGCCTCTGGAGTCCAGGGCGCATGGGCTTCAGCAGTTGTGGCTCATGGGCTTAGTTGTTCCATGGGGCATGTGGAATCTTCCCAGACCAGAGATGGAACCCGTGTCCCCTGTATTGGCAGGTGGATTCTTATCCATTGTACCACCAGGGAAGTCCCCTACAGCTCTCTTCTGTTAATTCACAGATGATTGAAATGAAAGCCTTTGTTTTATGTTTTTGCCTTGCAGAGATTTTTGCTGTGAGAATTAACAGTATCTGTTTAATATGGTAGACATTCTGGCTCATGAATCAGAATTACTTGGACTAGTGAAAGAGGTATGTTTCACAAAACACAGGTCACAGAGAAAGAGATCTTGAAAACTTGTGAAGCTTGTATTTTACAGTGCAACAAATTCTATAATGCCTTGTAATGTTTATATCATTATATTACAGTTATCTGTTTTCCATTTTATAATTATCAGTGTGTTCATAATCACCTGAAATCTTAAAGTTGCTTTTTAGAATTACTTCAAAGAAAGTTATAAAAGCAACACATGCTCGTGGTAAAAGATTCAAACAGTATAGAAGTGTAAACAGTGAATTCTCCTGCTCTGCTCCTATAGTGACCACTGTTAATGGTTTAATACATTATGTTTCCAGATTTTTTCCTTTGAGTATTCAAAATATATTTGCATGACTCTAGTTTCTTTTACAAAATGTAATGATACCATACACATTGTTCTGTAGCTTGCCTTTTTAAAAATTTTATTTATTTTTAATTGATTAATAATTGCTTTACAATATTGGTTTGATTTCTGTCATGCATCAACGTGAATTAACCATAGGTGTCTCCTCCCTCTTGAATTTCCCTCCCTGTAGCTTGCCTTTTATCTGCCAACAGTCATACAGGATAAACATCTTCCCGTGATCTGCCTCGTACTCCTGAATGCTGTAGAATATCTCATTGAGTGGCAGTGTCATCATCTAGTTAACTTGTTGCCTGTTGATGGACATTTATGTGCCCTACAATGAAAGTTTTTGAAGGATAGGCCTAAGCCTTATGCTTTTTGGTATTCTCTACAGCTCTTAGCCTGCTTCCCAAGTGTCTCTGCAGTCAAGAATCTGCTTGCCAAGCAGGAGATGTGGGTTCGATCCCTGGGTCTGGAAGGTCCCCTCGAAAAGGAAATGACAACCCACTCCAGTATTCTTGCCTGGGAAATCCCATGGACAAAGGAGCCTGGTGGGCTATAGTCCATGAAGTAACAAAGAATCAGACACCATTTAGCGCCTAAACAACAATAGCTACTTTTATCAGGGGTCTGGCATAGAGTTGATGCTAAAGAAATGGTTGCTGCCGTTTTGGTGTGTGACTGAAGTGTCCATTAGGCATTTAGTCCCACATGAGAGACATGGCCGTGGAACAGGAAGGAGGCATCCACCCTAGGGATGCAGCTTTGAAATTTGGTGTGATCATGAATAAATTTTCAAAGGCGTCACAGCAGAGGGTGGTGGACAGGGCCTGGAAAAATAGCCATAGTTAGAGGAGGTGGAAACAGAAAGGTGTGACTGACACAAACTGAGGAGACGGGCAGAGAAGTGGGGAGCAGCAGTAGAAGCAGTCTGTGTCACTAACATAAAGCTGTGTGTGTGTATGCGTGTGTGTGTGTGTGCGTGTGCGCGTGTGTGCATGTGTGTGTGCGCGTGTGCGTGTGCGCGTGTGTGTATGCGTGTGTGTGTGCGTGTGTGCGTGTGTGTGCGCGTGTGTGTGTGCGTGTGTGTGTGTGTGCGTGTGTGCGTGTGTGCGCACACGTTTGCCCTCAGTCCTGTCTGACTCTTTGCCACCCCATGGACTGTAGCCTGCCAGACTCTTCTGTCCATGACATTTAAAGATGAAGGGTGATCCTTAGTGCCTTACTTGAAGATCACAGATGGTGTTGTCCAGATTTAATGATTTACCTTTCTTCTTAGGGACAGGCATTATTTCTAATCCCTGTTGCAAGTAACAAATTCCCAGTGACCTACTAGACCCAAAGCCATCAAGCCTTCTGCCAATCACTTTTGCTTTTTTCAGGCTGCTGCACATATTCTTTTCTTTTCTTTTTTCTTTTTTTCATTTTATTTTCTATTAATAATTATAATGAATCATACAACTCACATTTTCTTTCTAAAAGCACATCTATTTTATGTAAATAAACATTTTCTCCTCTGATCACAAGATGGTGGAATAGAAGGATGTATACTCATCTTCTCCTGTGAGAAACTAACCACTGAACAGCCATCAACAGGAGAATGTTGGATCCCACCAAAAAAAGATACCCAACGTTCAAGGAGAAAGGAGAAGCCCTAATAAGATGGTAGGAGGGGCGAAATCACATTTAGAATCAAACTCCTTACCCACCAGAGGCATCTGAAGGGCTCAAACAAAACAAAACCTTTGTACAGTCAGCAAAAACAAGACCAGGGGCTGACTGTGGCTCAGATCATGAACTCTTTATTGCAAAATTCAGACTTAAATTGAAGAAAGTAGGAAAAACCACTATACCATTCAAATGACCTAAATCAAATTCCTTACGATTATACAGTGGAAACAACAAATAGATTCAAGGGATTAGATCTAGTAGACAGAGTGCCTGAAGAACTGTGGATGGAGGTTCGTGACAATTTCTACAGGAGGTGGTAATCAAAACCATCCCCAAGAAGAAGAAATGCAAAAAGGCAAAATGGTTGTCTGAGAAAGCTTTACAAATAGCTGAGAAAAGATAAGTAAAAGGCAAAGGAGAAAAGGAAAGATATACCCATCTGAATGCAGAGTTTCAAAGAATAGCAAGGAAAGATAAGAATGCCTTCCCTAAGTGATCAATGCAAAGAAATAGAAGAAAACAATAGAATGGGAAAGACCAGAGATCTCTTTAAGAAATTTGGAGATACCAAGGGAACATTTCATGCAAAGATGGGCACAATAAAGGACAGAAATAGTATGGAACTAACAGAAGCAGAAGATATTAAGAAGAGGTGGCAAGAATACACAGAAGAACTATACAAAAAAGATCTTCATGACTCAGATAACCACAATGGCGTGAACACTCACCTAGAGCCAGACATCCTGGAGTGCGAAGTCAAGTGGGCCTTAGGAAGCATCACTACGAACAAAGCTAGTGGAAGTGATGAAATTCCAGTTGAGCTATTCCACATCCTAAAAGATGATGCTGTTAAAGTGCTGCACTCAGTATGCCAGCAAATTTGGAAAACTCAGCAGTGGCCACAGGACTGGAAAATGTCAGTTTTCATTCCAGTCCCAAAGAAAGGCAATGCCAAAGAATGTTCCACACAGTTGCACTCATCTCACATGCTAGCAAAGTAATGCTCAAAATCCTTCAAGCTAGTCTTCAACAGTATGTGAACCGAGAACTTCCCGATGTTGGAGCTGGATTTAGAAAAGGCAGAGGAACCAGAGATCAAATTGCCAACATCCATTGTATCATAGAAAAAAACAGGAGAATTCCAGAACACTTAACTTCTGCTTCACTGACTACGCTAAAGCCTTTGATTGTGTGGATCACAACAAACTGGAAAATTCTTCAAGAGATGGGAATACCAGGCCACCTTACCTGCCTCTTGAGAAATCTGTATGCAGGTCAAGAAGCAACAATTAGAACCGGACATGGAACAACGGACTGGTTCCAAATTGGGAAAGGAGTATGCCAAGGCTGTATATTCTCACCCTGCTTATTTAACTTATATGCAGAGTACATCATGAGAAATGCCGGGCTGGATGAAGCACAAGCTGGAATCAAGATTGCTGGGAGAAATATCAGTAACGTCAGATATGCAGATGACACCACCCTTATGGTAGAAAGCAAAGAGGAATTGAAGAGCCTCTTGATGAAAGTGAAAGAGGAGAGTGAAAAAACTTGTTCAGAAAACAAAGATCATGGCATCTGGTCCCATCACTTCATGGCAAATAGATGGGGAAACAATGGAAACAGTTAGACTTCATTTTCTTGGGCTCCAAGATCACTGCAGATGGTGCCTGCAGCCATGAAAGTAAAAGACTCTTGCTCCTTGTAAGAAAAACTATGTCAAACCTAGACAGCATATTAAAAAGCAGAGACATTACTTTGCCAACAAAGGTCTGTCTAGTCAAAGCAATGGTTTTTCCAGTAGTCATGTATGGATGTGAGAGTTGGACCATAAAGAAAGCTGAGCACCAAAGAATTGATGCTTCTGAACTGTGTTGTTGGAGAAGACTTTTGAGAGTCCCTTAGACTGCAAGGAGATCAAACCAGTCAATCTTAAGGAAATCAGTCCTGAATATTCATTGGAGGGACTGATGCTGAAGCTGAAGCTCCAATACTTTGACCACCTGATGTGAAGAACTGACTCATTGGTAACAACCCTGATGCTGGGAAAATTGAAGGCAGGAGGAGAAGGGGACGACGGAGGATGAGATGGTTGGATGGCATTACCGACTCGATGGACATGAGTTTGAGCAAGCTCTGGGAGCTGCTGATGGACAGGGAGGCCTGGCCTGCTGTAGTCCATGGGGTCGCAAAGAGTCAGGCATGATTGAGTGACTGAACTGAACTGAAATGAACATTTTCTATAATACTGTCTTTGTAGGCCTTTAGTATGTATATCAATAAGTAAGTTTCTGATCCCACGTTACTTCTCCAAAGATGACAATTAATTAATCCCATTGTATATTTGTGATAATATTGAGCTGATACAATTACATCAAAGACAGTCACTTTGTTGATAAATGTATGCTCACTTATGCTCTTTTTTTTTTTTACAGTATCTAGATTTTGCTGAATTTGAAGACACCTTGAAAACATTTTTGAAAGAATGTAAAATAAAAGGGAAACCATTGTCTAAATCTACATGTGGCTCTTTAAGGGACCCCAAATCATTGAAATTCCAGGTAACATTTTACTTTTTTGATTTTCGTATATAATCAAGATGCTCCCAACTTCTGAAATATGTCACCATTAGAGAATGTTGGAATCATTTCTGGGGACCTGGGCAGAGCGACTCGTTAGACTGTGCTGATATTTATGGATAAATGAGTGATATCATCTTCAAATCTCTGGAGAGATTTCACATCCTTCCTTGACTGACCTTGAAAACAAATGGCAACACAAGGTTTTTCCATACATGTTTCTTGGTAGGAAGAAGAAGAAACCATGCAATGCTTAGAAACAGAGTCAAATGTGATCCCCACCCTGAGGAAGTTTAGGTTATTAATTCTAAGTACTGGGGACACTACAGTGAACAAAATAAAACAAGATATCGGCCCTCAGGGTGCTTGCCATCTAGTTTGGGGAGGTCGGAGGGGGCAAGAGCCATATACAGGGCAGCATCCTGTCAAAGGAAGGCCTGGGTGGCTGGGAGCCCCTGGCGGTGGGCTGCAGAGAGCAGATATCACATGGTCCTCAACTCAGAATCAGAAAGGACCTTGAAAGTCCTCATTTCAAGGACTTCCCTGGTGGTCCAGTACTTAAGACTCTGTGCTCCCAATACAGGGGGCACGGGTTCGATCCTTGGTCAGGGAACTAAGATTCCACGTGTGTGGCCAAAAACAAAAAATCCTCATTTCAGTCATTTGATTCTGTGTCCAGTTCAAAACTTTCTAGGTAAGGGATTGGCTCACCTTGAGTACGACCCGTGACAAGAGAACATACCCTTTCCTGAGGCAGCTTGCTTCGGCTTGGCCTGATAATATTTTTATTTTTTGGAATTAACAAGTTTTATTCTCTTATAACTCTCTTGTTCATTTTCCTAAACACTACATGGAGTGAGGGCTAAGTCAGTGTTAAACAGATCAGAATTTCTAATGGTAACCCATAAAACATGATTTGATTATTTTAATAAATTTGTTTCACTATACATACTTCCAAGAAAAATCGGAGACTTGGTTTGAGAGTCCCATCGAGTTGCTGGAGGTCAGGCCACAGCCTGACTGCCCCATGACCTGGCATGGGGTACCGCTGAGCAGGGACACCGTTGAAGTGGCCCGGGGAGTTGGAGTGGGGCTGTGCCCATGCCCAGCACCCCTCCAGGCCTTGGGCATCTGAGTGCCAAGCCCGCAGCTCTTGAGACACAGGCTCCTCTGTCAATGCTGCACCGGGCAGCCTGAGGCGTCCTCCCAACCCCAGAGCAAACTTCCAGATAGGAAACGAGAATCTGGTCATCATTAGACATGCAAACACAGGCTACTTAACTTGAAAGGTCTTGAAACTTTCTGCTTCTGAGAAGCCTGTCTTTTCTGCCCACTCAGTAAACAGCTGTGTCCCGCCTGTATAGATTTCCCAAACAAAAATACCTGGAGCGGTGGCTTAGCGATACTTGCTAAGCACCAGTGGCCCTCAGTAGACAAAATTTCCTTAATTACAGTTCTGTAAGAACCTTTATGTATGGGTGATTGTTGGTGGTGTGTAAAGTTTCTGATCTTGGTAATTCTGGCTGCGGTCACACTTGACATTCGAGAAGTTAATATTTTGTGACCCCTAGGAGTTATCACACTGGATTGTTCTATTTGTTGTTGTCACTAAGCTGTGTCTGACTCCGTGGACTGCAGTACACCAGGCTCCTCTGTCCACTGTCTCCTGGAGTGTGCTCAAATTCATGTCCATTGATTCAGGTTGTTTTATGTGTAGATATTATTTTAAATTCAGGGATCACTTTTTTAAAATTTATTTATTTATTTTTATTTTTCTTGGAGGATAATTACTTTACAATATTGTGATGGTTTTTGCCATACATCATTATGAGTCGGCAATAGGCATACATGCGTCCCCTCCATCCTAAACCCTCCTCCCACCTCCCTCCACACCCCATCCCTCCAGGTTGTCACGGAACACCAGCTTTGGATGCCCTACGCAGGGACCATTTCCAGGTTCCGAATAGGTTTCATAAATTTGGAGTATCACGGCACAGCAAAGGTTTGTGGTCCCATGTCTACAAATGCAGAGTCTAGAAAAAACTGTAGATGGGCCATGGGAAGCGGAAGCACACTTTGCCAAACCATGTTAAGAAAACACTTGACTCCAGGCTTTAAGACACCCTCGAGAGTCTGCACACAGTCCCTGGACCTCGAGGGAGGGTCCCCCACTGGGTGGTCTGCAGGGTTTGCTCGTAGTTCAGCAGATGTGAGCCTGGGGCAGGGCCAGACCCCAGCAGCACGTCCCTCTCACCTTTGTGTTAGGAAGTGGCAGGAACATGGGGTCCTCTGGCCAGGCCCCCCCAAAGAGGCCGGTTTTGAAGAGGTAGAATTTCACTGTGGGGCTTATTTTGAAAACGTCTGAGTTTTTTTCCAGTGTATGCCAATCCCTTCCCGAGTGAGGTAATATTCAGAGACCATTGTTCTCGGTCACGTGACACAGAGAACATTTTTGTAGTGTTCACATCGGAAGACTCCTTATCAGGGAATGTTTCTAACTTAAGGAAAACCAAACTCGGCAACCCTGTTCTCTGTAGGTTTCTATCTTATGTTAAAAAGCTTGATTATAAACAAATAGAATGAAAGTGAAAGTGAAATCGTTCAGTAGCGTCTGACTCTTCGTGACCCCATAGACTGTAGCCCACTAGGCTCCTCCGTCCATGGGATTCTCCAGGCAAGAGTACTGGAGTGGGTTGCCATTTCCTTCTCCAGAGAATCTTTCCAACCCAGGGATCGAACACAGGTCTCCCACATTGTAGGCAGACGCTTTACTGTCTGAAATAGAATATGTTACCTTAAAACAAATTTACAGAAAAAAATGTAAAACTTTTCAAAGCATAAAAGAACAGTGCCCCGGTAATTGTGGTAAGTAATGGTGGTGAAGGATGGGGAAACTGGAGAGTCTATAGAAAATCTGAAAAAAAATCAGAAAACTCTGAAAAAAGTTTCTGCAGTTGAGCCCAAAATGGAGGTCTGCGTATTGTGGGCATTTGATACAAAAAGGAAAACACTGCAGGAAGCTCTCTTGATCCTGAAGGCAAGCATGTGTGCTAAGTCGTGTCCCACTCTTTGCGACCCCATGGACTGAAGCCTGCCAGGATCTTCTGTCCATGGGATTTCCCAGGCAAGAATACTGGAGTGGGTTGCCATTTCCTCCTCCAGGGAATCTTCCCGACCCAGGGATTGAACTGGCATCTCTTGCATCTCCTGCATTGGCAAGCAGATTCTTTTACCGCTGAACCACCTTGCCTAAATCCATAAAGTCACACAGCAGGTGTTGATGGTAGGTCAGTTATCGCTCCTCCTGTGAGACAGGTAATGTCTGACTGCCACCTCCTTTCTCAAGTTCTTTGTCTCAATCTCTGCGTGGTGAGTCGGGCCGTGGGCTCTGCCCCACGTCATCAGGCTGGTACAACCCCGAGGCTGGCCTGGAGCAGGGCCTGTGCTCCTCCTTCCGTCTCCAGCTCAGGTGTCCTATTCCTGAACCTGGAGGCAGTCACTCTGTGGGGGAGCTGGGCTCTGTGGTCACTTACCGCGCTGCCATCTCCACCAGACATGCTTCTGGCAACAGCAGGCTCATGATAACGGTCAGTCCCACCTCCCAGGCCTGGGATTGACCGCTTCGCGTGGCTGAACTCTTGGCTGTATGCCATGTCTTAGCAGCTGTGGTGTCAGCGACTCTGTAGGTATGAGGTCGCTCTGCTGAGGTCTGGCTGGGCTCTGGGTCCAAGCCATTCTCATCAGTCTTAGGCGGTGGGTCACCAAGTCCGAGGGGCGACCTCAGTGTATTCTCATGCTGGTGGCAGATTCCTTCCATTTCAGAGACCTTCACCATTGTGTCTGTTCTTCAGTGAAAGCCACTCAGTCATGTCCAACTCTTCGTGACCCCATGGACTATACAGCCCATGGAATTCTCCAGGCCAGAATACTGGAGTGGGTAGCCTTTCCCTTCTCCAGGGGATCTTCCCAACCCAGGGATTGAACCCAGGTCTCCCACATTGCAGGCAGATTCTTTACCAGCTGAGCCACAAGGGAAGCCCAAGAATACTGGAGTGGGTAGCCTATCCCTTCTCCAGCACATCATTCTGACTCAGGAGTTGAACCAGGGTCTCCTGCATTGCAGGCGGATTCTTTACCCAACTAAGCTACACAGGATGCCCTCTGTTCTTCAGTATGCTCAGATTTGAGGTTGCCGAGCAGTAGAAAACCAGGGGCAGTCTGCAGGAATCTCAGCCAAGGCAGTCTGAAGCCCTCTGGATCCCTCTTTTACTATCCTTTACCTCTGAAAAGGAGACTTGCTTTTACTCACACTGAAATGATGGAGTATATGGGTGTCTAGGATGAGATGGTTGGATGGCATCACCGACTCAATGGTCCTGAGTTTGAGCAAGCTCCAGGAGATAGTGAAGACTGCGGAAGCCTGGCATGCTGCAGTTCACAGGGTCACAGAGAGCCGGACACGAATGAGCGACTGAACAACAGCAAGGCGTCGGGAGGGTGTGAGAATCAGGGGTGTTGGGAGACGCGGCGTCCCTTGTGACCGACCGGGCTTCACTCTGATGTCTTCTCCACAGAGGGATCTCCTTGCTGCGTTTGACAGTGGAGACCAGAAGGTGTTCTTCAGGCTGTGGGAGGAGCACATCCCCAGGCCCATCCGGGATGGCGACTCTCTGGCCCAGAAGCTGGAGTTCTACCTTCACATCCACTTTGCCATCTATCTTCTGAAGCACTCCACAGGCAGACCTGTAGGTTCACCTTGTGCTGGGGGGTTGGTCCACAGGGTGTGTTAAAGGAGAATGTTAGCCAGTTACCTTTTGCAAATGAGGATTAAGTTAGTTTATCACCCCTTTTATCATATTGCTTCTCAGGAGTAGGCCTCATCTGTCCTGATGAATGCTTTTTCTGTCTCATTGCTAGCAGTTTCTTTTCTAATTTGTATGGAAAATTAATCATTTCTGTGATGAAAGCTATGTCATCATTTCCTTGACTATCTCAAGATGGTTATGTCTAAAAGAATACATCTTTAGACCACATTTTTAACCAGAAGATGAATTTAAGCTTAAACAGTGGGAAAATGGCGTGCCCGTTTGTGAAAGTTTGAGTGATGGGTTGAATTGAGCTTCTGCACTCTTCCTGGAGGTGTGAAGGAGAGAGGGGAGCAGACACAGGCTGCTCTGCGGGTGAACCGTGGGGTGCGGAGGGAATGACAGAGGGGGGCTGGCCAGGCTGACATAGGACTATCCGCCTTTGTTTCACGACTTCTCCCTGTATTGGCTGCTACCCCAAGGACCTGTGTTAAGTTATTAACATGTCAGTGGCCACAGGAGGGGTCAGAGTGGAGGGAGCAGCTATATAGCACATTGTAGTAGCTGTTCTTGGAGGGCTGTTCCTAAAGATGGTTCTCAGCTGGGTGCCATTGTGGGAGATTTTCATTTCCTGTATCTGTTTTTACTAATTTTTTCTGTTTTGCTATAAGATAAAAAAAAAAAAAAAACAATAAATTTTTTAAGTCCAGTGGGCTTCATGGTATAGGTGAAGGGAGATACATTGATGAGAAGAACTGGCCTGTGTATGAGGCTGTGAGAGAGCTAACAGGTGAGACCAGGGAAGACCTTCTCATTGAGGCCCAGGGGGAGGTGGAAACCCAGTGGGGGTGGACCCGACTTGCCTGGGGTTACACCCGGAAGTAGTGAAGCTGGCAAGGTCACCTCCTGGTTAGCTTAATAAAAGAAAGGAATAATGATATGGAAACTGCTGTTTCAAAAAACTGTTCATTCACCCTTAAGTGCTTGCTTTGGCAGCACATATACTTTTAAAAAAAAAAAAGAACAACACAGTGAAGATTAGCATGGCCCCTGTGCAAGGATGACATGCAAATTTGTGAAGAGTTCCATATTTAAAAAAAAAAGACTATTCACCCTCAAAAAACCTCTCCTAAGAAAACCACAGGAATGCAGACAAATATTTTTTCTGCTATCTGTACTATGAAAACAATGTACATATCTAGTAATGGGAGATTGATTAAATAAATTATGATAGACCCACAGATGAGGTTTTGTCATGCCATTAAGAAAGATGTTGATGAATTTAAGGATATCAGAAAATGGTAATGATAAAGTGAAAAGGCAGCGCTTGAACTGTATATATTATACATCTAGTTCTCTGATATTCCTGGCAGTTTCATGAAGGGGTGAAATAGGGGGTGATGTTCGGATGACTGGAGACAGCTCACAGGCTGGGCCAGGCGAGGAGGATGCCAGTGACGAGGCTGGAACCGAGGGAGCCTTGGAGGGAGAACGGGTGAACCGGTGAGCTGGCATCAAGCAGGAGATCTCAGACATCCTCTCTTCCTTGCAGGACAAACAGGACCTGGATGAAAGGATTTCTTATTTCAAAACCTACCTGGAGACCAAAGGGGTGGCCCTGAGCCAGACCACGGAATTCCTCCCTTTCTACGCCCTGCCTTTTGTTCCCAACCCCATGGTGCACCCCTCATTTAAAGAACTCTTCCAGGTAAGTGACTGTCTCCAGTTCTTGGATCCTGGGCAGCATAGCAATTCCACCTTTTATACACTGGTGATTTCTGAAGGATGCTGAAAAAAAACACTAAAATTTGCATATGTTGTGTTTTAAAAGAATGTACAGGTAATTTGCTTTAACAAACTTTTCTTCTGCTATAAATGTGATTTTATTGTTGTTGTTGCACCAAGACTTGTTAACTCAGACTGACAAAATATTGTAAAATATACTAACCTCTTCAGTCATTCTGTGTAAACTTTTGCAGCATTGAAACGATAACCTATTCAATTATAATGAAAACTAGTAGCCAGAGAAAAATCCAGGCTACTTTACACAATCACTGGTCATGTATATTTTGATTTGTGTTAAAATTCTCACTCACTGTATATTTGATTTTTGATTGTACTACATTATTTCCATCAGACTATTTGTCTATAGCTCTTCTAATTGTTATATTTCATCTTACTTGACATTTTAGCATAGTATTTATAAATAAAATTTACCTATTAAGGTAATTTTTGTTGACTTACTAAAATTAATACATCCCACTGAGAGGTTTATTGAAATGTATTTAGAAACAAATATTTTGATATGACTAGATAGTTTTTCTAAAGATGTCACACTGTTTTCAAAAATTTGTATGGCACTTGCTCCCAACAACTGAACAATGGATGCAATTCTTCCAAACTCAGTACATTTCAGTTTCTACTATTTTTCTCTGTTTACTGAATTCAGTAAAACCAATTTCATTACTCCTGAACAGCAGCTGCTAAATTGAAGGTCAGGTGGTTGACTCATTCTATCAAAGCCAGATTGTTGTATAGTGGCACAGTTGAATTCTGTGCTTGTTTTTCTGGTCAGTGCCAATTTAGTTTTACTGTCTTCTCCTAAAAGGTTAAAAATATGGAACAGTTACAAAGGTGATGAACCTTGCAATGGAAGGTTAGATTTTCTCACAGTCAGGGTTCTGTTTATGAGAGTTATGACGTGTCGGTGTGGCTGCAGCTTAGGTCAAGGTGAGGTGGAGCTGGGAGAGTCAGGGAAAGGTTCCTGCTGAGTCCTCGGCAGGTCTGATGTTCCAAGACTGAGTTCAGGTTCTTCTTCAGAGTTCAGGAAGGTAGAGATCATCAGTATTCACAGAGTCATTTTATTCTCCCTTTTTCTCCTTTTACTGCTGCTGCTAAGTTGCTTCAGTCGTGTCCGACTCTGTGCCACCCCATAGACAGCAGCCCACCAGGCTCCCCCGTCCCTGGGATTCTCCAGGAAAGAACACTGGAGTGGGTTGCCATTTCCTCCTCCAATGCATGAAAGAGAAAAGTGAAAATGAAGTCGCTCAGTTGTGTCAGACTCTTAGCGACCCCATGGACTACAGCCTACCAGGCTCCTCCGTCCATGGGATTTGCCAGGCAAGAGTACTGGAGTGGGGTGCCATTGCCTTCTCCTTTTACTGCTCTCTAAATATATTCTTTCAGTGGTCATCACAGGAACTTCAGTGTACATAATAAAATCTAAAGTTAGTATCTTTACTCTCTTCCTGACCATTACAAGGACCTCATTTAACTTACGGTCTGTAGTTGTCAAATATTTTAGTATATACTTTAGCCCCACAAAATCTGAACTTTTAAAAATTTTATGCAGTCAGCATGTGTGTCGATTTACCCTTAGATTCACCAGTATTTTTGTTTACTATTCCATCTTGTGTTGAGGCCCTTCCAACCAGGATCATTTTCACCCCTACTTGAAAGATGTTCCTTTAGAATCTCCTTTCGTTGAGGATCCCTTCTTTCAGTTCTTATTGTCTGAAAGAATCTGTACTGCTTTCTCAGGCAGGGTTAAAATACTAGGTTTATAGCTCTTTTTTCCCGTGTGGCATGCAGGATCTTAATTCCTTGACCAGTGGCTGAACCCATACCCCTTGCAGTGGAGCTCAGGGTCTTAACCACTGGACCTCAGGGAGGTCCTGACAGTTACGTTCTTTCAGGACACTGAAGATTTTTTATTTTGTCTCCTGGCTCCCACTATTACAGTTTTGAAGTTAGCCATCAGTCTGATTGCTGTTCCTTTGCAGGTCACCTGTCTTTTTCTCTCTGATTGTATCATTTCACTCTAGTATGTCTAGTGTGTCTTAGGGATACCCACATATTTTATTTTGCTTTTTTTTTTTTTTAAGATGTCTTGGTTTATGTTGGCCAACCTAGCAATCCTTTCCTGAGATTCATTTCTATATGGTTGAGCACAGAGAGCCTCAAGCTGGAGCACACCGTATGAGTTTCCTGCAGTTGCTATAACAAAGGACCGCACACTGGGTGGTTTAAAACAACAGACATTGTTTGTCTCACAGTTTACGAGGCCAGAAGTGTGAAATCAGAGTGTCGAAGGACTGTGCTCCCTACAAAACTTCTGGGGGAAGATCCTTCCTTACCCTTTCCAGCTTCCAGTAGCCTCAGGTATCCCTTGGTTTGTGGCTGCGTGATTCTAAATCTCCTCTCTGTCTTTGCATGGCTGTCTTCTTTCCGTGTCTGTGCCTAACTGTCCTCCTTCTTATGAGGACACCAGTCATATTGGATTAAGAGCTTATTCTCATTCAGCCTCCTCTGAGCTAATTTCTTCTGCAGTGTCCCTACTCCCCTGACCTCACATTCCAAGGAGATTAAGGCTTCAACGTGTCTTTTTAGGGGACACGGTTCAACCCACAACAGACACGTTAGAAATAGAGACATTGTGCTGTGGCAGGGAGTTACACAATCTTTTTGAAGATATCAGACTTTTCTGCTTATTTGGCAGCATGTTTTTAAAGTGTCAGAGAATGCACTGGATAGACCAGTGGAGCTGGGTAGGGGGTGTGGGTGATGAGAGCTGGAGGGAGAAGTGGGGAGGATAGGCAGGTTGGAGGGAGATGAAACAGGATCTCAGAGCTAAGTTGACGTGAATTTTTAGCGGCAGAACTTCTTTTAGTGGGACCTCCCGGTTTAGTGGTAGATACTCTTGTCTAAGAACCCTCAGGAAAATTGTCCCAAGAAAGGTCGTTGCTTGTGACACTTATTCTTTCACTACATAAGTCATTATTTTTTTCCTTCTCAGTGAACGTTATTTGAGATAAATAATTTATTCTTAAGGAAGAAATCAAACTAGACACATATCAGAATGCTGGACACGATGGAGTATTTGAGGCAGACGACTGCTTCTTTCTGGTTTTTCTTGTCTGACTGAGGTTTATGGAAATGAGTCCTTTTCTTCCGGAGACTTTCTGTAACTTAGCGATAATTGTATATGCCTGCCAGTGCCACATATGCCTAAACCATACTGAATTATTTTTGGTATTCAGCCTAATAAGGTTACTTGGCATCCTTGAAATACTCAAATCATGTTCAGGGTTATTTTTTCCCTGATTATGAAAGTACTCTGTCCTTTCCTCCTGCCATGGGCTCTTGAATATTCTGTAAGTGAATTGGTCAAATGTCCTAAAACCTGTTTTTTACAGCATCACACCACTGACAAGACATCTTGCTTCTGATTTCAGTAACTGTGGCAAAGCTATTTCATCCTGAAGGCCACAGCTTGACAGTGTTTGTTGACGTTTAGTGACCTGGTGCTTTTCTTATTTTTCCTTGTTCTTTTTTCCTTACCTTTAGGATTCTTGGACTCCAGAATTAAAGTTGAAATTGGAGAAGTTTCTGGCTTTAATGTTCAAAGCCAGTAACACGCCAAAGCTTTTAACATTGTATGTATCCTTTTAAAGCAAATGGAGACCACCTATGGAATTAATAGTTGCCTGTGTGTTTGTGTGTGTGTGTGTGTGTGTGTGTGTGTGTGTATGCTAAGTCATTTCTGTTGTGTCCAACTCTTTGTGACCCCGTGGACTATAGCCTGCCGGGCTCCTCTGTCCATGGGGATTCTCCCGGCAAGAATCCTGTAGTGGGTTGCCATTTCCTCCTCCAGGGGATCTTCCCAATCCAAGGATCAAACCCTCTTACATCTCCTGCATTCGCAGGTGGGTTCTTTATCATTAGCGCCACCTGGGAAGCCCAAGAATGGCTTCCTGCTGCTGCTGCTGCTAAGTCGCTTCAGTCCTGTCCAACTCTGTGCGACCCCATAGACCGCGGCCCACCAGGCTCCCCTGTCCCTGGGATTCTCCAGGAAAGAACGCTGGAGTGGGTTGCCATTTCCTTCTCCAATGCGTGAAAGTGAAAAGCGAAAGTGAAGTCGCTCAGTCGTGTCCGACTCTTAGTGACCCCATGGACTGCAGCCCACCAGGCTCCTCCGTCCATGGGATTTGCCAGGCAAGAGTCCTAGAGTGGGGTGCCACTGCCTTCTCCCAAGAATGGCTTAGATGGCTGCAAATAGGGATGGTTGTGGTTGTGCTGCTTCTATACTCGAGTGAATGAAGCACTAACAGGGGCATGTGCCAAGGCCTGTAAAGAGTTGACTTCTATGGCATTGGATCTCTGAGACTTGGCGAGGGTCTTATTTTCATGTCATGTGCCAAGAAGCTGTCTTGAGTAGGAAAAAAATAATGCCTGTCTTCTTGAAAAAGAACTCTTTGGAATTATCCCTTTACTGAAGGTCAGTCACTTAATGCCTTGAGGTCATGACATATGGATCAACTCATATATAACTTGTCCTTCCAATCAGGACTTTTAAGAAACAACTTTGTTGAGGTGTAATTTACATACCATAAAATTTGCCCACGGTAAGTATGTTATTGAATGATTTTTAGCAAATGCCCAGAGCTGTGCAGCCATCACCACAATCCATTGTAAACAGAGGCACTTTTGGGAGTAGAAGGGGGACACTGACCAGACAGAGGCCCGGGACGAGGTATAAGCGGAGGCTGTCCAGGGAGGAGCAAGGCCGTTACCTGCCCACGGAGGCTCCTTTCCCAGAGCCGGTTGGTCCCTAAGGATGCTCGTCTCCTTTTATTCTGAACAAGCATGTAGCAAAAGTTATTTCATGACACGAGTTAGCATTTTGATTTGTAAAGTTGGTGCTTGTTTTGTTTACCGTAATAAAAAATTTAGGCCGCTCTGCTGGGTAATGCCTTCTGCTTCCATTCTGACTCCAAAGCACTGGACTCTGTTTTCCTAATTGGACTCTGAATAGAAATCCCTGGGATTTCATGACACGTTTCTCCTGCTTCCGCTTCCTGAACATTCAGTGGTTCCCTCTTGCCTGTACTCAGCTCCTCACCTCACCCTGAGACTGCCCCCAGATGGGCTTAGTACACCTCCCCTTTCCATTTTTATATCCTTTGAGGTTTTCTTCAAGTTCTTCCCTCTGCCCACATGTTTGCATACCCAGTTCCTTTCCCTCTTAGAGTTTTGTATAAAAGGACAGTTTCCAGTGAAATTAGAACTTCTCTAACTTGGTTTATGGCTTTTTAAATACACTTTAAAAAAGTATTTCTCAGGACTTCCCTGGTAGTCCAGTAGCTGGGATTCTGTGCTCCCAGTGCAGGCAGCCTCGGTTCAATCCCTGGTCAGGGAGCTAGATCCCACATCCCGCAACTAAGAGTTCACTGCCACAACTAAAGATATGTGCAGCCAAATAAATAATTTAAAAAATTAAAAATAAAAAGCCTTTCTCCTTAAAGGTAACAGGTACCAACCATTATGTAAAGATACTAAAGAAAATTTTTACATAATGATACCGGTATATTAATAATAGCACCCACTTCATAGGAATAGTATGAGGATTGAGTTAATACATGAAAAACCTGCTTAAAACTATCCAACACATAGTAAGCAGTTGTGTTATTGTTAGCTGTTGTATTATAGTTTGCAAACACTTGTCACCTTTTATCCCATTCAACATTTGCTTCGAAGCAAATACACTGAAGTCCTGCAGGTAACTTTAAACATTATTCCTCTCTTTTCTTTCTTACATGGAAATATTTGGAGTTCAGTTCAACACGTATATTAGGTTGAATAGTGTGCTAGGAATTAGGGATAAAAGAAAAAGCCAAGATCATTGTCTTAGCTGGAGTTTTGAACATGAAAATGGGTGTCTGTGAGGCAGACAGAATGAGGGATAGGAGTTCCAGGTAGAGGGAACAGCTTGTGCCCAAGTGCTGAGCCAGTGGGTCTGGGACACTGAAGGATTCAGTGTTGCTGGGGCAGAAGGATTGAGATGGAGAGAGTCAGAGACCAGGCATGGCCGGGTCATGGAGCTTAGTGTGAGGTCACCTAAGTATTGAGAAGAAAAACATGCTCATGTTTACATTTTTTAAAATCACTCTCTTTTTATTCCTGATTATAAAATTGATCCTATTCCTTATAGAAAGTTTAGAAAGCACAGAAATGCATTTGTTTGCACACATATACTTCAAAGTATGTAATGTTTACAATAAGCAAGGATAGACATCTCTAGGTATGTATATTTTTATTTTTTTTTGCATGCATATTTTTAAATATTTTTCTAAAATGAAGAGAATGTTTCCTCATAGCATTAAAATATTCTTTAAAAATAGGTGGTCTCAAAGTTTAAACATAGAAATTACCTATGTCCCAGCAATTCCACTCCTAGCTGTATCCTCAAGAGAAACAAAAGTGTCCGTCTACACAGCAGCTTGTACATGAATGTTCACAGCGGCCTTATCCAAAATGGGCAAAAAGTGCAGGCAGCCCAGATGTCCATTGTCTGATGCATGGATGACCAAGTGCACACAGTGGAATATTACGTGGCGATACAAGTGAGTGAGTTACTGATCTGTACTGCTACATGGATGAACCTTGAAAACATGATGCTAAAATGAAAGAAGCCAGACATAGAAGGCTGCGTATTGTATGATTCCATTTGTGTGAAGGGGCTAGAAAAGACAGATCTGCAGAAAGTGGGTAAGTGGCTGCCTAGGGCGGGGGAGGGTGGTGAGAGGGGGTAGGGACTGCTGATGGCAGTCTCTTTCTTGGGTGGTGAAAATATTCCACTCCTGATTGCGGTGATGGTTGGACAACTCCGTGAATATATTGAAAACCATGGAAATGTACACTTTAAATGGGTGAATTCTATAATATGTGAATTACATCTCAACAAAGCTGTTACCAGAAAAAGTAAGGAAACCCAAATAAACTAGCTAAACTCCTTGGCCTTCAGTCATGGGGCCAGATGTGTGGAAGCTGAGGTTCAAACTCGGGCCACCCAGCACTAGCGTCTGTGGTCACGGTCCCTGTGCATGTTCTTTTCATCAAAATCTGAATTTCCTTAGGCTAGTTGCTTTAGTACTGAAGGTACAGAAGTAAAGGGTATGAACACAGATTTGCAGTTTTAGTCCATTGTTTTGGTAAGGAGGCCAGTCTGGATGCACAGACTGGTTCCTGAGGTGGAGAGAGGAGGATTTCCTTAAGGGTAGTCACCCCAGGATTGAGAAGTCTGTTAGCTGTGTTCGCCGTTCATCGGGTTCCAGTTACCTGTCCTGAGCGGTTAACCATCTCAGCTGTTCATGGGGTTCGGGTTACCTGTCCTAAGATGGTTGGTTAACTGTCTTCGCTGTTCATCGGGTTCCAGTTCCCTGTCCTGAGATTGCTCTTTTTCACCGCACCGGGGCTGTTTCCCAGATCACCTAGCACAATGAGAGGGATACCCTGAGTACTGTCTCCTGAATGCCTGTTTTCCTGAACTTCTTCTCATCCCAGAAGGAGAATGGACAAAGCAACAAAGGTAAATCATCTAGATTAACCATTTTTAAATAACAACTTCACCTACTCAGAGTTTTAAGTAATGAAATGGAGAGAATTCCACAGACTTGACAAAAGTGGGCCTTGGAAGTCTATAAATACTTACGAAGTGCTTCGCAGTCCTTTTTCTCTGCATTCCTTGAGGCCCACTTCTCAGAGTGGCTGGTACTGTTAGCTTTGTCTTGTACATCAGCTGACCAAGACGGGGAGAATCCACTCAGGTGCCAGAAAAATGTCACGGCAGCAGCAGTTAGACGGCACAGTGCAGCACGAGTGGGGAGAGAGTTATTTCCATGTCTTTCACTTTTACCTTGAACTAGTCTAGTCTAACAGGGTCTTATCTCAGCAGCATGTGGAGTGTCCATTCTTATGAAGCATTTCCATTTTTCACATTCAAAGTAGGAATTCCAGTCTTAAATTTTTAGCATAAACTGATGGTTTTTCCATGATGAGTCATTTTACCACACCACTTCATTTTTCAGAAAGATGAGAAAAATTTTAGTTAACATGGTGGCCACAAGTGGGGTTCTCTGTAGGAGTTTTGTCTCTGATACAACATGATTATGAAAACGGCTGAAGTTACTCTGTTGGAAAGGGTGTGTGACGTGCTTCTTGCCTTTGCTAAGTACTGATGGCATCATCCTGGATTCCCAGCAGGTGGAGTGTTACTACGTAAAATAGCAGGTTTGTCCTTTTCACAGCAGTCCTGCCAGAGAGGATTTCAAAACTTCCTGCCATTGTTTCTCTGTTTCCTTTTAGAGAGTTAAAGTTTTCCAAAGAACAAAAGCGTTAGGAAGTTGTCACTTGGCTCTTGGTTCTCCAGCACTGGGAGGATGAGCAGTGCTGAGACCCCCACGGGGGCTTTAGTAACTTCGGGTGGGAAGTCCGGGGTGTCTGTTCTCCACCTCGGGAGCCCTGTGGCCTCCAGCCCTGCGGTTCCAACGGTACAGCCAGTTCTGCGGCCAGGCCGCCCCTCCTGGAGCTCCGAGGCCCCACCTGGAGGAGTGGCAGGCCTCAGGACCCCTCCTCTCCGTCCGCCCGAACACGGAGGGGCGGGGTGCAGCTGTGTCCTCGTGGGGTCAACGGGGACCTCTCTGAGGGTCGCAGACCGCAGCCTTGAACTGGCGGGGTAGCTTTGCCCCCAGCACGGTGACCCCGAGGACGAGTGCAGCCCCCAGGACTGCTCCGTACTGGGTCAGTGCAAGTCCGGGCCTTGACCAGGGCGGGTCCGGCCCGGTTTTCTCCCTCTCGGCACAGCTGGAACGCTTCAGCTGGGTCGGCACCTCCCAGGAATGCTCTTGTGCTTTACTGCGTCTGTTTCTCTAGCCGTCCAAGCAGACCACCTCAGACTTGGTGGCATAAGAGAGCAATGTCCATCTGTTATTATCCTCCTCTTGCGTGGTCTGGGAGTTATGGGCTCGGTCAGTTCTCCCTCAGGGTTTCTCCCGGGTGTAGACGGAGCCGGGTCGGGTTCGAGCCACCTCCAAGGCTTCCACAAGCACGGGTGTGGTGGCTGATGCTGGCTGTCGGCTGAGCTCTCAGCACAGGCCCTGGACCTGGACCCCCAAGTGGACTTTCCTCGTAGCCTGGGTTTCCTCAGGGCCTGGCGGCCGGGTTCCCACCCAGGGTGAATGTCCCCAGAGGGGTACGGATGGAAGCTGTTTCACTTCTTCACCCAGACTCTGAAGTAAGTCGGTGCTGTTTCTGGTGCGTTCTCTTCATAACAAGCAAATTCCTGAAGCCCACGTTCAAAGGAAGGAGAATTACATTCCACCTCTTGACGGGAAGTAGTGTCAGAGACTTTGCAGTCATGTTTTAAAGCCACTACCCCACCTGTGTCTTCGGGTCCCCGAGGCCTGCCTCAGTGCTTGACTGAGTCTGTTCAGTCCCTGTTCAGATTCAGTCTTTGGACTCCTAGGCACTGAAGGCAGGAAGGTGGTGAGAAACTTCTCCCGGATTGCCGAGTTTCTGCCAGCCCCTGTCACCCGGCGTGCCCTGCAGTTTAGGGGGATAGCTTCTTGCCAGGAACCAGTTATGTCTCCAGTAAGTGGCCCAGCTTTGCAGACAAAAATAAACATGGGTGGGGGGAGTGCACGTAGAAGAGCCTGTGTTTTTTCTATAGACCTTTCATTTGGTATTTCAGCAAGGAGGCCAGGATTCTGAGCCTTCTTTAAGTTCGATTTGAGTTTTCCGAGGCTAGCTAAGCAGGATGTCTGTGGAATTGAGTCTGGCAGGCACAGCATGTGTCTGCGGCGGAATAGCCCCAAATGCAGTGTCGCCATGGAGATGAGGGAATAGCACCCGGCAAGGCACTTGTGCCAGGGGCTCGGGCTCGGGCCCAGCGTCACCACAGCTAGTTGACTGGATAATGTCATTATGTGTCTGGATAGGAAGGTTTCATGGGCAGAGTGAGATTTCCATTAACTTTTTCTTTTCTTCTTTTTGTTCTCTCTTTTTAATTTGTTATTATTTCTGTAAACTTTGGAAGAAGGGTGGGCAAAGTGTTTGGAGTATGGAAAAGTCTCTCAAAAGGAATTATATTAAAAATGGTGTTAGGAATAAAAACTTAGGTTGGCAGCATAGCATGTTGGATTATTATTTTCACCTAGCCATCTAAAAAAGGATATAGAAATAGCATCTTTCAGCATTCATTACTCATTTGGCCCCTTCAGAAAATGGGCAACTGATCATTTTTCTGGAGTTCAGAGCTATAAATAGTGTTTCTGAACATGATGACTGATATTCCTAGTTCTTTCTAGCCTTAACTTTCTTCATCCAGCATTTGTGGATTAGCAAAAGAACAAAGAACTGATTTATATCTAAATACAAAGAAAAAAGTATGTATATTGTAAAACTAGGGAGATTGATTTAGTTTTTTATATTGTTTTTCAGTTGCTGAGTTGTATCTAAGTCTTTATGACCCTGTGGACTGCAGGACACTAGGCTCCTCTGTCCTGCACTGTCTCCCAGAGTTTGCTCAGATTCATGTTTATTGAGTCAGTGATGCTGTCTAACCATTTCATCTTCTGCCGCCGTCTTCACCATGTGCCTTCAATCTTTCCCAGCATCAGGGTCTTTTCCAATGAGTTGGCTCTTTGCATCAGGTGGCCAGAGTGTTGGAGTTTCAGCTTCAGCATCAGTCCTTCCAGTGAATGTTCAGCATTGATTTTTATATTAGGTTAGAAAAAATTTTCTGTATTTTGAAAGGTATTGTCTTGAGCAGCCTAGGGGGTCTCCAAAATTAAATCTCATCTACTCTTATAAAAATGGTGCACTGGGATGACCTAGAGGGATGGGATGAGGAGGGAGGTGGGAGGGGGGTTCAGGATGGGGAACACATGTAAATCCATGGCTGATTCATGTCAATGTATGGCAAAAACCACTACAATATTATAAAGTAATTAGCCTCCAACTAATAAAAATAAATGGAAAAAAAAGGTGAAAAAAAAAGCAATGCATCTAAATGAAGTATAAATGTTAACAGGAGAAAACTTGACTGCTATACTATAGTGAAGATCTCCGTCAGTTTTGTTATTGTTTCATTTCCTGCTGGAATTAAAAAAAACTGTCTGTGACCTTAACTGGCATTCTTTTACTTGTGTATATGTTTTGTTTAAAGCTTGAAGTTCTTTGTCCAAAGAATGGACAAAGAATGCAGTTCTTTGGACTTTTGCACAAATTATGTCAGTGACTTTGAAATATAAAGCGTCTCAATAAGTTTTGCTGGCATGACTATGGCAGTTTCATTAAAATAACATGAGCCAAGACATCTCCACTAAAAGTTGACATCTTGGAAGGCGAGTCATCTTGGCTTAGTTGTCCTTCTCTCATAAAACTTTTGACAGGGAAAAGAAAGAGTCAGAGTTCTGTTTAGTGCTCAGAAATAAAGTTGATATTTTGAGCTGTAACCCAGATATCTTACAGTAATGGTCAGGTCCTGTTTATAACTGTTAAGTTGTCTGCACGTTGATGTCTCTGGATAGCAGACTGTTTTTGCTAACAGAGAAGGAGTTGCCTACTTCTCTCTTTCCTGTTTATAAAATTAGAATTTTTTCCCCATGAATGAAACTAATTTTTATAAGTAAATGCTGGGTTTTATGGGCTTCCCCTGTGGCTCTGTGGTAAAGAATCCACCTGAAATGCAGGAGACGAAGAGACACAGGTTCAATCCCTGGTTCAGGAAGATCCCCTGGAGAAGGGCATGGCAACCCACTCCAGTATTCTTGCCTGGAGAATCCCACGGACAGAGGAGCCTGGTGGGCTGCAGTCCATAGGTCCATAGGGTCCATAGGGTCACAAAGAGTCAGACACGACTGAGCGACTAAACAGCAACTCTTTTCTGTAGGCTGCTGGTGGTTAGGGCCCTTTTCTCTCAGGTTACCATACTTTGAAATGGTCATAAATTCCATTTCTTTGTTCTCAAGGTAAAAGCTCCACAAATAGTCCCTTACATTTAGTTAATCGACAGTGAGTTTCTGAGGGGAGTTTTTTGGTGCAGTCCCCTTTCAAGAGGGACTACTTGGGTGACATTAACATTTATGGTTTGAAAAGTCATTTGACCCAGCTAATGGGTTTTGGTATTTCATTCATCTGCCACTTGGTACAAGTTGAGAAAAATCTCATAGATTCTCTCTAATATTTATTACCATAAAATGGGACTGTGAATAATCTAAAATTTTCATCCTTGAAAGTTCTTATCTATGTAATTTTGAGTTTTGAATGTATGAAAAAACTTAAATAATACTTAGTGGGAGAAGAAGGTAGTGACTCTCAATATTGTATTAGGAGAATGAAAAATGATTCCCAGGGATATTCTCCAGAGGTTCAAATAGTGGATATAAATTTGTTTCAGATGACTTTTCAAAGTTATCTTTCAATACTGAAATTTGATGGGTATTAAATTATAATAATTCATTACATGATATTTGGGGTTTTAATAGTTAAAGTGTTTTACTTCTGTACATCAACAATTGTGAAACATGAAAGTTTTTTAAATACAGTGTGAATGTGGGTTATCATCGTAGCTGTTTAGGATACAAATTAAGAGGAATAGAATAATTTAGGTCAGTGTTTCTCAAACATGCAGTTATGTGTCAGAGCCATTTGAGGAGTATGTTAACAATGTAGATACTTAGCCCCTACCCAGTATCCACAAAATCAGTCTCTGAAGTTGAAGCTTGATCATTTTTATTTTTGGATGATTCTGATATATTTCAGAGTTTACATACCACTGCTTTAGGACATAACCTTTCTGCCATTTTTTCAAATGCTCTACTTATATAGAAATACATTTAGAAAATCTTTGACCTTTTTCCATGAAAGGAAATAATAATAATAGCTGCTATGTATGGCCCACCAGGTGACTGCAGCCACAAAACTAAAAGATGCCTGCTCCTTGGAAAGATAGCTATGACATACCTAGATGTATTAAAAAGCAGAGACATCACTTTGCCAACAAAGGTCCATAAAGGCAAAGCTTTGGTTTTTCCAGTAGTCATATATGGATGTGGAAGTTGGACCATAAAGAAGGCTGAGTGCCAAAGAAGTGATGCTTTCAAACTGAGGTGCTGGAGAAGACTCTTGAGAGTCCCTTGGACTTTGAGGAGATCAAACCAGTCAATCCTTTAGGATTTGACTTTAGGAAATTTCCTTTAGGAAATCAACCCTGAACATTCATTGGAAGGACTGGTGCTGAAGCTGAAGCTCCAATACTCGACACCTGATGCAAAGAACTGACACATTAGAAAAGACCCTGATGCTGGGAAAGATTGAGGTCTAGAGGAGGAGGGGGCAACAGAGGATGAGATGGTTGGATGGCATCATCAACCCAGTGGACATGAGTTTGAGCAAACTCTGGGAGATAGTGAAGGACAGGGAAGCCTGGTGTGAGGCAGTGCATGGAGTCGCAGAGAGTCTGACACGACTGAGCACCTAAGCATAGCACAGGGTAGTTGATTTACAGTATTATATTAGTTTCAGGTGTATATACAGCATAGTGACTCAATATTTTTATAGGTTATATTCCTTAAAGTTATTATAAAATAATGCCTGTATTTGGTCTTTATAAAGTCTCTCTGTAAGTGTGAAATGTGTTCTAAAATGAAGACTTTACATATTACACAGCACCTGGATTGGGACACAGTGTGTTAACATGGATGTGGGGGCAGCAACAGGTCCTTCCATCAAAAGTGTGACCTTCCAGGCAAGGGAGAAAGTAGGGCAGAGGCAAGGAGGGCTGATACCGATGAAGATTCCAGCTGTGCCTAGGGTGGCTTGGCCATCTTGTGCTGCTGTGAGGGATGGGGGCAGGGTGGTGGTGGGGTTCCAGGAAGAGAACCCTAGAACCTTTCAAGGCTACTGCTGTAAGGCCCAGTGGGGTGGCTTATGCTCTCTCAAACTGGCAGAGTGAACACCTGGCACCTTACATAATTGTGGATTTGAATTTTCTCAGCACCCGTCACGCAGCCCTAACTTTTACTTAAAAGGAAGAACTTATCCCTCATACGGACTCACAGGGCACAAACAGAGAAAAAGACTCAGTTTTGGTTCAGCCATTTTGTGAACTGATGATAGAAAGAAACATTGAGTTCATTTCTCATATATATAGAGAGAGGAACTGAAAGAAGTTATATGGGATTCAGCCAAGGAAATAGATTTTATTAGGAAAGTCAGTGATGAGCAGTTGAACTATCAGGGTAAAACATTAAAAAAATCAAGGACTTCCCTGGCGTCCAGTGGTTAAGACCCTGTGCTTCCAATGCAAGGGGCGCAAGTTCGACCTCTGGTCAGGGAACACAAAGATCCCACCTGCCATGTAGTGCGGCCAAAAAGAAGAAATTAAAAGATCAGTGATTACAAAGCACTTTGTAAGTAAATGTGGCATAAACAGAAGTGTTAAATACATAGTGCTAAGTTCATTGTTACAGTACAATATTCTCACAGGAGGCGTGGTATTCACTTGAGAAGAATATAATTATTTTTTATTTTGTAGGGTTTTTAAAAAATCTTTTTAAATTTTGTTTTTGTTTCTTTGAAAAATTATTTATTTATGGCTGTACTGAGTCCTCCTTTCTGCATGGGCTTTTCTCTAGTTATAGCAAGCAGGGGCTACTCTCTAGTTGCGATGAAGCAGCTTCTCTTGTTGCGGAGCACAGGCCCTAGAACATGCAGGCTTCAGTAGTTGCAGCATATATGCTCAGTAGTTGTGGCCCATGGGCCGAGTTGCTCCATAGCACGTGGGATCTTCTCGGATCAGGGATGGTACCTGTGTCTCCTGCATTGACAGTTGGATTCTTTGCCATTGAGCCACCAGGGAAGCCCCTTGTAGACTTTTTCTTTTTAACCATCGCTTTTTTGTTTTGTTTCAATGTAAATGTAAATTGTCTTCCTAGACATGTTGCAGCAGCTCCACCAGCAGCTGGTAGAAGCCGAGCGGAGGTCCATGACGTACCTGAAACGGTACAACAGGATCCAGGCCGACTACCACAACCTCATCGGAGTCACGGCAGAGCTGGTGGATTCTCTGGAGGCCACAGTCAGTGGCAAGATGGTAAGGAGGTCCCCCATTGTCCACGTGTCTTGAGATAAAGACAAGTTGTGGGCACGGATGATTCCTTGCCACCCCCAGCCAGTGACATCTGCCCCCGACTTTACAAAGCTGAGGCACAGCCGTTTATCACTCCACTGCAGTATTTCATCCATTTTTCCTGACGTATTACCTATTTCATCTTTATTTCTCTAGCCTGTTCTTAATGTTAGCAAATAGTAAATGGGCAGCAGAAAAAAAAAATTATGTCATGGCATAAAAACAGGGGGAGATACTCTTTTGGTATATAGAAGACCTATGGGGTTTTATATACTGATTTTGTATCTTGCAACCTTTCTGAACTCCATAATCTGAGAGATTCTTTTGATTGATTCTCCTATATTCTAGATTGGCAGTCATATCACTTTCAAATAATGCTATTTTTTTTCCCTTGTATATCCTAACTTTCTTTTTTTTTCCCCCCTTAGCTTATTAGCTAAGACTCTCTGGGAGGCTGTTGAATGAGCTGATGGGCATGTTTGTCTTATCTCTGACTTTATTGGGAGTGACTCAAGTGTCTTACTCAATAAAAAGGTAGAAAGCATAATAAAATCACATTCTGGAAATAGAATTTCTTTTACTGGAAGTAATTGTGGGTTCACATGTAATTTTAAGGCATAGTGCAGAGAGTCCTTGTACCCTCTTCCCAGTTTCCACCAGTTGTAACAGTTTGCAGAACAATAGTACAGTATCTCAGCCAGGATATTGGCACTGATACAATCTATTGCTTTACCCTGATATCCCCAGTTTTACTTGTACTCGTGTGTGTGTGTGTGTGTATGTGTTTTAAGCTTTATACAGTTTTATCACCAATGTAGTTTTATGTATTAATCTTGCTTTAACACCTTAAAAATGTGATTATAAAATAAAATGTATTCTAGAAATTTTTGAAAATATAGAACTAGGCAAAAATAAGATTAAAATTACCTGTCATAATCTCACTTAGTAATAACACTTGTTAACATTCCAGACTTTTTTTTTCAAAACTTAGATACACGTGTTTTGCAGAAATGGGCTCAGTTCACACAGTCTTCAAGTCTGTTTTTCTCCTAAATACCGAATCATGCATTCTTGAAGTCATTAAACATCCTCCTACGATGCCTCAACTCTCGTGGCTGTTTTGCGTCATGTTACTTAGTGTGTTGGGTCTCTATTGTTAGGATTGTTTCCAGGTTTTTACTTTCGTAAGGGGGCATTTAAGTAAACACTTGAATCAGTTGTGCAGTTCCCTGGGATTACCCCAGAACTCTAGGCCAGAGCAACAGGTGTGGATTGCTTTTTACTATAAAAGATTGTGAAAGTGAAAGTGAAAGTTGCTCAGTCATGTCCAACTCTTTTCGTCCCCATGGACGAAAAGTACAGTCCATGGAATTCTCCAGGCCAGAATACTGGAGTGGATAGCCTTTCCCTTCTCCAGGGGATCTTCCCAACCCAGGGATTGAACCCAGTTCTCCAGCATTGCAGGTGGATTCTTTTAAATATGCTTTAATACTCTATACTGAAATGTCTTTGCCCGGATGAAAACACAGCACACAAACGTTCACAGAACTGCTGAAAGTTGCATGGTGTGGCTGGAATGGCCGAAGCTAGGGGGTGGGGAGTGGCATATGTTGGAAAACGAGGCAGAGGAGGTGTATCGGGGGCAGGCACAGAGAGATTTGTAGACTGTGCTCAGGAACGTGTGTTTCACCCTGCAGTTAGTGATGAACTTTTGAAATGTAGATCTTGAAAATTGTTGAGGCTTTTTAGTTCTGAAAACAACACGCACTGACTTTTCTTTAGTACAGAGAAGTACCAGAAACAAAACAAAGATGGCTTATGTAATCACTGTTAACAAAAAAATGAAGAAAAGAAGGCATGTACATAAAGAATTCAAATAGTACTGAAATAAAAGAAAACGTGTGTTTTCCTTCTGCCGTCTCTCCTATTAAACAATAACTGCCATCGTCACGGTGTGGCTGCCACAGCCAGGGTTGATGTGATGCTGGGTGTGGCCCGCTGACCACAGGTGGGACCTGACCTCTTACTGCTGTAGTGTGCAAGCAGAGGCCCACACACCACCAGGCAGGGGGTTGGAGGGGCCTCCAGTATCAAGACAGGGAGACATGGGGTTGGGGCAGGGGGCAGCACTGGAATCTGAACTAGCTTGTTTTTAATGTAAAATAAATACATGTTCATAGTAAAAAATTGAAACACTTCAGAGGAGTATATAGTTAGGAGCAAAAGGCCCCTTACACACACAGTTCCTTAGTCTCGTTTTCTTGCAAGATTAACACTTGTGTATTACTTTAGAATCCTTCTGCACATACATGTGCGTGCATGTGCATATACACATACTACTTGGGGTTATGTAACCCATTATCCTTCTTAAACTTGCTATTTCACCTTCAGCATATCTTGGAAATCTTTCCACATGACCACACACTGCTTCATTCTTTTTAATGCTTGTACATTATTCCACTGTAAGGGTCAGCCATAATTCATCAGATCTCTGATGATGAACATTTAGATTTTTTTGTTTGCAATAACACAGAATGTTGTACATACTGTGAAGTCACTCAGTCGTGTCCAACTCTTTGCGACCCCGTGGACTGTAGCCTACCAGGCTCATCTGTCCATGGGATTTTCCAGGCAAGAGTACTGGAGTGGGTTGTCATTTCCTTCTCCAGGGGATCTTCCCAACCCAGGGATCAAACCTGGGTCTCCCGCATTGCAGGCAGATGCTTTACCCTATGAGCCACCAGGGAAGTCCTGTACATACTGTATATATCCTTATATATACAGTATACCTTTGAACGTAGGGAAGATAAACACCTGAATGGAATTACTGTCAGAAGTTATGGGCATTAAAGTTTTGATAGATGTTGCCAAATTATTTTTCCAAAGATTTCAACAATGTCTACCCACCCTCCACCCCCAGTAGCATATCAGAATATCTGTTTCTTCACACATTTGCCAACACTAGGCATGATTATACTTTGAAATTTTTGCTGGTTGGATAAGTAAAACTTGGTATTCTGAATGTTTCAACTTACATTTCTTTAATTATGTGTGAGGCCGAATATATTTTCATATGTCTTTTGGCCATTTATATTTTGTCTTTTAATCAACTATTGTATACATGTCCTGTCCTCTTTTCACTTGTTTTAAGCAAGAAGGTGACAGAATCAGATTTCTGTGTTAAAGAAACGGTTCTGGTATCAAAGGAGAGGAAGCAATTTCAGGAGCAAAGCGTTGCTCCAAAGTCTCAGAAATCACAGAAAACTCTAGAAGTCCAGAACTGAAAAGTGTCCAGTGTGTCTGCCATTTAGAAAGTCATTGGTGGTGGCCTTTACCTTGGGAGTTTCCGTGGGGGTGATGCAGATGGGGGCTCAACTGGGGTGTGTGGACAGGTAAAGGGAAGGCGAGGTAGCAGATGTCGGCTGTTCTCTTAAGGACCATGGCTGTGAAGGAGGAACATCGAGAGCATGGTTGATAGATGAGGATCTTGGGAGGAGAAAGGGGAAGGTATTTTTGAAATATCAAATATGTCTGGACACGTTTCTAGGTTGTAGGGAAGGAACTGGTATAAAAGGGAAGGTGAGATGCACAGGATGAACAAGGAATGATTTAATTTTGATCCTGTAGGCATTCAGAGGAGATGGGCTGAGGATAATGTAGGAGGTGCAGCCTTGAGGTGGAGCCCAGATGATCCAAGAAATTCTGCACGAGGAACAGTCTTTCTTGTGGCTGAAACAGACCGGAGATTTCCAGGGGGCAGACAGGAGAACCACAGGGAGAGAAGGGGTCTAGCCCAGTGTTCCTGCTCCTTCCAACCCACCAGTCAGTTGAGTAGTTGTCCTCTTGTAGGCATGAGTGAGTGAGCATTGGGAAGGGACGCCTGTTACATTAGCACGTGGGAGTTCACCACACAGAGTCAGGAGACTGGGAAAAGAAGTGTCCCTCCAACAGTCGGGCATAGAAAAAGTCTGGAAGGAGGTAAAACTGTCTGGTGGCTCAGTGGTAAAGAATCCACCCACAATGCGGGAGACACAGTTTCGATCCCTGGGTCAGGAATATCCCCCAGAGAAGAGAAGGGCAATCCACTCCAGTCTACTTGCCTGGAAAATACCATGGACAGAGGAACCTGGCGGGTTACAGTCCATGGGTTGCAAAAGAAGTCAGACACAATTTAGCAACTAAACAGCAACAACCTCTAGGGATTGACTTGTGGGGGCAGGGTAGACTGGGGACAGGTTGGGGCACGCTTACCTCTTTTTTTTTTTGACCACACAGCTTGTGGTATCTTAATTCCCTGACCAGGGATGGAACCGGGCCCTTGGCAATGAGAGGAGAGTCCTAACCACTGAATCACCAGGGAATTCTCATTTTTATATATATTTAAAAAAAAAAAAAACATGAGAAGAAAACGTTTCAGAGATTACCACCTTAGATGCTGGATATCAGTCCTGAATCATAATGGCTAATGAGAGAGGCATGAGAGGTGCTGAAGAAAGAGGCCATCATGTAACTGCTTTGATGCAGAAGTAACCCATCTCCCGTCGTCGAGCGCTGGGTGGTTCATAACAAGCCTCTGTTACTCATTCAGTTACCGTTTACTGAGCATCTATCATGTGCTGGGCTCTCCCCTGGTACCCGGGACACAGAGCCATAGGCCTCCTTCATCTCTTCCCACAGGTCCGGAAAGCAGGAGGCAGACCCGTTGGTTTTCTTGAGTCCACTGCTTGAGCCCAGATCTTCAGATTTTAAGCCCAGCATTCTTTCTATCATGACTTTCCATCCATTCTTACCGCTCTCTCCTCCCCCTGCCCTACCATGACTTCACTGCTTGAATTAACAAAAAATTGGTTTAAAATCAAGTTTATTTTATGGGAATTCCCTGGCTGTCCAGTGGTTAGGCGCTTTCACTGCGGAGGGCCCAAGTTCAATCCCTGGTCGGGGAACTAAGATCCCACAAGCCAGGCAGTGTGGCCAAAAAAGAAAGTTTATTTGGCAGGACAGTGGGAGTATGTTAAGTGCAATTACATGACTTAAAGTATGCTATCCCATGGTTACACCTGGAGAGCATTAATTTTTTCATCAGGCTCAACTCGCTAGTGCTCCGATGTTAAAGCAAAATCTCACCTCTGCGCCCATGGAGCACCCGTGGAGCGTCAGTGCCCACACCGGCCAGGGCAACACTCACCAGCCATCCCTCCTCTGTCTGCAGATCACGCCCGAGTACCTGCAGAGCGTCTGCGTCCGCCTCTTCAGCAACCAGATGCGGCAGAGCCTGGCGCGCAGTGTGGACTTCACGAGGCCCGGCACGGTGAGGCCCACAGATTTCACCACGTGTGTTAGTTGCTCTGTGGTGTGTGACTTTATTGTGACCCCATGGACTGTAGCCCGCCAGGCTCCTCTGTCCATAGGATTCTCCAGCTAAGGATACTGGGGTGGGTTGCCATAGATTTCACTATGCCATAACTTTAAAAAATGAGAGAGCAGGAGAACAGAACACATTCAGGAGTTTGCATTTCAGCACGCTTTGGAGGTCTGTACCTTCCCAGAAGGAAAAGAAAGCTGTTTTTGGAGAGTGAGCAGCTGGAAGGCAGCCTCCTGCCGGGGAGACAGGCTGATCTCTTCCAGGTGGGGCTGCTCTGTGGGCACCAGGGCCGGTAACAGCGGCAGGTCAGGAGGAAACCAAGGCAACTTCATCCTCTTTTACAGATAACTGCCAGGTCTCAGGCAGGGCCTTTCTTTTTCTCTCTTTCAACTTTATAAAGTTGCAAAAATAGCCCAAAGGACACTTGTATACCCTTTTGTATACCCTTTACCCATATTCACCAACTGCTGATATTTAACTCTTTTGTTGACTTCCTCTCCACACACATACACACACAATATGTTTTCTGAACCATCTGAGGATAAATTACATATATTATGTCCTTTTCTCCTAAATACTTCAGTGCACTGTGCATTCATTAATAGGAATGTTCTCTTATATAACTATGATGATCAATTTCAGTACATTTAATAGTGATGCAGTATTTTACCTCATTAACTTACTGTTCATTTTCCAGTTTTGTGAGCTGAGCTATTAACACCCTTTACAGCATCTCCCCACCCCCCACCCCACAGTGTGGGGTCAGGTGTTATAGTTGACTTGTCCCGTCTCTTTAGCCTCCTTTCATCTTGAAGGTCCTCTCAGTCTTTCTTTGACTTTGATGACATTGACATTTTAGAAGATAGTCCTTCCCCTCCTTTAAAAATAGAACATTTCTCCTTTTGTGGTTGATGTTTCCTTGGGGTTAGATTCAGGTTTGCCCTACAGGCCAAAATACTCCATAGGTGATGTGTCCTTCCTCGGAGAGCTTGTCTGGAGGCTCGGGGAGTTGGTTGGGTCCTCAACCAGGGACAGACAGAGTACACCAGCATCTCCTGAGGGAGTTTTCAATTCATGGACCCCTGTCCAGGGAGATACCAGCCTGGCGCTTGGTCCAGAGGCCGAATGTGTGGAGCTAGGCAGCTAGGAGGGAACACTGGGTTATCCTGAGGCACACCCGAGGGTCAGAGCCCCTCCCCGAGGATCAAAGCCCCATCACCCGAGGGTCAGAGCCCCCCCCAGGATCAGGCCCCCCCGCCGTGAGGGTCAGAGCCCCCTGACCTGAGGGTTAGACCCCCCCCAGTTTTACAGCTCCCCACCCCAGGATCAGAGCCCCGCCTGAGGGTCAGAGCCCCGTCCGAGGGTCAGAGTCCCAACCCCCCAAGGGTCACAGCCCCCCCCCATGAGGGTCAGAGCCCCTCCTGCTGAGGGTTAGAGCCCCAGTTTTTCCTGAAGTGTTTGCACATGAACACTAAGGTCTTCATAAACAGAGGCCTTTTTTAGTTTTAAAATAATCTACCTCATTCTCAAATAGGTTTGAAGCAACTTCTTATTATGAGAAAACACACATGTGAGAAATGAAAAAATAGAAAATAAAGATAAAGAAATTTTGGTTAGAATTCATAGACACTGAAAGTAGATTGGTGGTTGCCAGAGGGTAGGGGAAATGGAGAGATACTGGTCAAGGGGTACAGACATCCAATTTTAAGATGAGTATGTTCTGGGTATGTAATTGACAGCATGATGACTGTAGTTAATAATACTGTATTGTGAACTTGACGGTTTCTAAAGGAATAGATCTTAAATGTTCTTACTAGGAAAAAAGGTGAGGTGACAGCTGTGTATTGTGGTAATCACGTCACAGTACACACATTTATCAAGTTATCACACTGTACACCTTGAACTCACACAATGATACATGTTAGTTATATCTCAGTGATACTGGAGGGAAAAGAGAAATTATGGTTAAAAGGAAATGAGGGTGAGAAAAATAAAAGTAAGCCAGGCTAAGGCTGGTATAAAAAATGCACGTGGGGAGCGTGGCCTGAAATTGGTGCCAGCTTTCCAGCAGCCAGTGCAGAAAGCAGTTACATGATTTATTTATAACGGAAGAGATGATGATATTCACTGCATCTAAGACAACATTTGTGCTGCGCGTGCAGCCTCCGAAGCACAACGGTAAAAGGAACACCCATGAACCCATCACACGTGCCCGCAATAGACCATCTCAGTGCCGCCAGCGTCCCCTGGTGCCCTTTAGACCATGAACGTTTATCCAACTCAGTGTATTACTCTTACAGTTTAAAAGCAAGCCACCAAGTACATTATTTTTGAAGACTGGCAGGTCAGAAGAACGCTGCATGGGGTGATGCTGTAGCTCAGACCTGGGGAGAGGTCCTCTCGTGGATCTTGGTAGAAAGGATGTGGTACCATCCTTGTGAGCCAGCGTCCTTGACCGTGTCCTTGGGGTGCACGTGGAAGGACTGGCCAGCCACTGCTGTGTCGGCTGCGCCACACGTGGACAGTGAAGGATGGGAGCTGTGGAGTCTGTGCTTGAGGATATGGCTCCAGTGACGTCTGTGTACAGAAATCTTAGTGAGTTGGCCATTTTTTTAAAATGTCAGCTAAGTACACAGAGACATCTGAGTGTCAAACAAGTAACTTCCTCGTGGGCCCTCTAGGATGGGGGGCTTCAAGCCACCTCCCTGAGGACCGGCTGAGTTGAGTTTTTATGTCCTGTATATGCTTGGCTGTAAGTCATCAGTCTTGGGATGACTTTAAGGATCAGAGTATCTTTACCAAAAACAGTGGCTTTCTAGGGACTTCCCTGGTGGTCCAGTGGCTACGACTCCATGCTCCCAAGGCAGGAGACCTAGGTTCAATCAACCCCTCATCAGGGAACCATTAACAGATCCCACATGCTACAGCTAAGGTAAATTTTTAACCATAAATTGAAAGAGACCCTACATGCCTTGAGGCAGAGCACAAAACAGAAGACTGATGTCATGTTTAAAAGGAGCAGCGTCAAAGGGGCTGGGGGCACAGCACACAGGACCTTTCATCCCGCTGGAGGTCACCTTCGTTTGCCAAGAGACTGGTCCTGCCATCCTCCCGCGTTGCAGTGAGGCCAAGGAACAGGGTCTAAGCCTCAGAATTCACAGGAGGGAGGGTGAACTCTGTTTATCTTAACTCATGACCATTTTTTTTTTCCTACTGAGTCACTGACTTACTAAGCAATAAAAGCTGCAAGCAGTCTTTTATTGTTCCTGGTATATCTTTCTTACAAGATGATAAAAAAGAGTAGATGAGGGGTCATTATGAAAGTGTACAGGATATTGTCGTTGATTGGGCATGCCTAACGTCAATGTGTGGTATCAGATGTATAACGTATGGAGAGGAAATTAGGATACAATTTAGATGGGCTGTCTGGTAACTGAGCTGATAGGATCTAGGATTCGGAAGGAGTAAGTGCATGTGTTAGTCACTCAGTCGTGTCCAGCTCTTTGAGATCCTATGGACTGTAGCCTGCCAGGTTCCTCTGTCCATAAAATTCTCCAGGCAAGAATACTGGAGTGGGTTGTCATTCCCTTCTCCAGGGGATCTTCCCAACCCAGGAATTAAACCCAGGTCTCCTCATTGCGGGTGCATTCTTGACCATCTGAGTCACCAGGGAAGCCCTTCAGAAGGAGAAGATTGCTTTTTTATTTTTGTAACGGGAATATATTCTATCCTAGGGGCTTCCGCAGTGGCTCAGCAGTCAAGAACCCACCTGCTATGCAGCAGACACGACAGGGGCCATGGGTTCAGTCTCTGGGTCGGGAAGATCCCCTGTAGAAGGAAATGACAACCCACTCCAGTATTCTTGCCTTGAGAATCCCATGGACAGAGGAACCTGGCGGACTCTAGTCCATGGGATGGCAAAGAGTTGGACATGACTGAGCAACTAAACAACAACAACATTCTACTATAAGACCATACGGAATGTCATCAATTTCAAAATAAATCAGTGAGCACAGACCAGCCTTCTTTCTAGCCTGGTCCTTGATCAACTTCTGTTTGGGCTTATTCACTGTATACATGGAGAAGCCTGGCCAGGATCCATCATAAAACAGCTACATCTTCTACAAAATGTAGTACTTTGATCTGGTTTTTAAATCTGACTGCTAAGAATCTGGCCCTGTGCAACCTCATTCACTGTTGAAAGTTCCAGAGGGTTCAGTAAATCGCACCCTTCTTCCCCTGGAGTTCCGAACCAATTGAAAAATACGATAGAGTGAAGGAAAATGGAACTGAAGGTATTGCTGCTGATTCTGAGAAAGCTTTTACTGGAGAATGTAGGGGGTTTTGTAGGCAAGTGGGTTACCTACTTTTCAGCCCTGGAATTAAAGAAACGTTCTCACTCAGTCATGGACAGTGAAGGCCAATCCCTGCCCCCACCCCCTCCACCCACACAGCCTCACTGCCCAGAGGAAGGGGGCACAGGGTAGTGCAAATCCAGCCAGTCACCCCCTCTGGGGAGTGTGTGTGAAGATTACCCTGGCGGAGGGCCCCATGGGGAAACCAGAGGTGTTTTTCTACCCTACCTCGTTCCCGCCCAGGTAACTGTCCCAAAGTCTGCTGCATTATCAGAGTTGTCTGTTGCTGTGTGGTGCTCAATCGTGTCTGACTCTTTGGAACCCCATGGACTATAGCCCACCAGACTCCTCTGTCCATGGGATTCTTCAGGCAAGAATACCGGAGTGGGTTGCCATTTCCTCCTCCAGAGGATCTTCCCAACTCAGGGCTTGAACCCGCATCTCTTGCATCTCCTGCATTGGCAGGCAGATTCTTTACCACCGTACCACCTGAGAAGCATTATCAGAGTTGGCTGACAGATCTGGATGCTCCTAGGATTCAGTTCAGTTCAGTCGCTCAGTCGTGTCCAACTCTTTGCAACCCCATTAACC